GTTCTGCATTAAGTCCTTGTGTTTCTGGGGCTGTGGCCGTGCTCCAAACTTAACTCTGACTTTCAGGGAGAAAGATTGGGTGGTTTACTTCTCATTGATCACTTTGTATATAGAGAGATGTCGCGCGGCCGCTTACGCGGCCGCGCGGTTTTGAGAAAAAGTCCTCGTTCCCGCATACTCGAGCTGTGTTTGTAGAGGCTTCTGGTCACCGGGGTTCCATCTGGGGAAGGCGAGATGCGGCGCCTACTCCATCTGGAACTTGCGGGTGAACTTGGCTCTTTTTGGAACCTGTTTTTTCTTTTTTTTTTTTTCCTCCGGGATCCCGCACGCTCCATGTGTTCTTTCTCTTATGCTTACGGCTTCAAAGATGGCGCTGGGGGGCGGGCTGTGGGCATGACTTCCGGAATCAGAGGTTACCTGGGAGGTGTAGTTCGGCAGATTTGAGAAAAAGTCCTCGTTCCCGCATACTCGAGCTGTGTTTGTAGAGGCTTCTGGTCACCGGGGTTCCATCTGGGGAAGGCGAGATGCGGCGCCTACTCCATCTGGAACTTGCGGGTGAACTTGGCTCTTTTTGGAACCTGTTTTTTCTTTTTTTTTTTTTCCTCCGGGATCCCGCACGCTCCATGTGTTCTTTCTCTTATCAGAACATTTCTTTTATCAGGAGTTAGTATAAAAAATTCCAGAGCATGCAGTTAAGCGTTAACTACTTTGGGAGATGATATTTTCGGATTAGTCTTTATGAACGGAAGATGGGGTAGAGTTGGCCCGCTCAGGTTTGGAACCATCCACATTGTTACAGGGATAGGTTCTTCCTAGATCCTAAATGAAACTGAGTGCAAAGAAAAGGAACTGCAGTGTGAGAAAGAGCACGTCCACCGCTCCGTCCTCTCCAATGGACCTTCCACAGCTGTGGAAAAGACCTAAGAAAATTCTACTGCTATAGAGCACCTATTCCTCAGCTTAGGTAGAGCTTCCATAAACCGATTACTGAGTCCGTATTTTCCTATTGTAAACTTCTCCAGGTTTTCTAATACCCATTCAATTGTTGCTTAGTTCTCCCTTGTGCTTTTGTTGATGCTTTAACAGATGGATAAATATATTACATTTCCCTCTGAACATATTTCTCCGGTCAGATAATTCTAGTTTCTTGTCCACTCTGCAAGACACAGAGCAGAGCATTCCCTCACTGTAACTGAGTAACTCTTAGATTTGATTTTTGGAATTTAATATATAGCCTTATTAAGACATTCAGAATGCCATACTGGTTTGGATCACTGAATGTAATCTAGAATAATTAATGGAAGACTTAGAATTAACAATTCTAAGCTCTTAGAAGAGCTGGATAGTTCAGCAGTTAGATGATTAACGATGGAGGAGTCCGACAGATTTAGAATTAATGGAATATGGATTCAGAATTAACAATGGAAGAGCTGGAGACAGCTCAGCAGATAAGGTGCTCGCCTTGCACATGCCCAACCTGGGTTCGATTCCTGGTGCCCTATATGGTACACTTGCGATCAGGATCAGGAGTGCTCCTGTTGCATACATGTGGTATTGTGATATGAAACACAGGCTGCTACAGTATGATGACATATACCTAGATGGGAAGGAGGGAGATGTGAGAGGTAGAAATGGCATTTTGAGGGATGGGTATCTGATCATTGTATAATCGAAACCCAAGCACAAAAAAATTGTAAATCTACAACTGTACCTCATGGTGTTTCACTAATAAAAAAAAAAAAAGAAATGGCATTTCAAGGAAAATCTAAAGTGAGTCAAGTAAAGAGGAACATGACTAGGAATGAACAATGTTTCTCGGGAGGTTGGAAAAAAATTTTATTATGATGCAAGTATGATGACTGGAAGAAACCAAATGTTTGTCATGTCAAGATTTTCATGTGGCAAGAGACTGAAATCTATTTCTATTTCAAATGGAAAAGTAAAACTGTTTAATTAACCAACCTATACATGAACTCTGTATGTAAATATAAATATAAAACCCTGCTCCCGGAACAGAACAGTTCAGAGTCTCCTGCCTCCATGCCTGGCGGTCCTCACAGGGTCCCTTGGAGGAGGGTGGGTTGAGCTTTCCTCCCCACCCCGAGCAGAGCCCCGGCAGCTGAAGACCTCCGGTTCCAGCCACAGCCATGCTTAAGACCACTCTCCACACGTTAGAACGAGCCTCACGCATGAAGGAACCGGCAGAGGAACCCAGGTGTGGGACCCGGGCATAGATCTCCAAGCCTGCTCGGATTGGGACTCGGGCCTCCTCCACCCAGATTCCCCATCTTCCAGTATGTCGGCATTACACCCACCAACTGCCCCCAGCGCCATGTTATCCCATCAGCGGCCAAGACCCAGAGACTATAAAACCCTGCTCCCCGAAGCGACATCTTATTATCTAGTGGAGAACCTGGCAGGCTACCAAAATTATCCTGCCCACATGGCAGAGTCTGGCAAACTCCCTGTGGTGTATTCAATATGCCAAAAACCAGTAACAAGAATGGGTCTCATTCTCCTAAATCCTGAAAGAGCCTCAAATGTGGCACTTTTTAAAATCTCAGGGCTAGGACGAAGGAGACATTACTGGGGCCTGCTCGAGGCAATTGATGAACAACAGGATGACAGAGATACAGTGACACATGAACTCGGGTAGCTTTAAGTATGAAAATCTAGGGAGTGGCAAGTCTCACAACTGTCCTCATCGTTGCCTCTGCTTTTGCTTGAGTCAGGTTTATCTCAATATTTGTTATGATTAAATAGAAACGTGTTGATTTTAATGCTGAAGGGGCAAAAGGGGGCTGGATCACGGACAATTATGAAGTTCATGCTAAGGACTTAAGTTTTTATGTGCAAAAGCAATTTATTAAATGAGCTGTTGTTAGTCTTCTCTGAGATGACACTGGCACAGATTTTTAAAGCTGGGAGGAGAGAGTAAGTGAAAATCTAGGGCACCGTTAGCAGTACCCGTCCACAGCCAGAAAGATTGTACAGGGGTAAGTGGCTTGCCTTGCATGCCGTTGAGTTCAGTTTGATCCCTGGCACCCTGTACGGACCTCCTGAGCACTACACCAGGAGTAATCCCTGAGTATTGCAGGGTGTGGTTCTTAAACAAACAACAGTACAGCTGTAAGGCAAGAAGAATGAGCTTTAGGGAAAATTGGTAAACTGACATTCAAAACCAAGAAAAAATGGGTCTGTGGTGGGAAAAGAGGCAAATTTAATTTCTGAAACTATAAATTTTTGGTAGTATAAGACACAGATTTCCTAATTTATTCCCTTAACTATATTTAACATATATTAAATGTAATTTATACAATATATAATTATATATTTTATATAATTCTTATGTATTACTGTATAATATAGGCTGGAGCAATAGCACAGCAGGTAAGGCGTTTGCCCTGTACACAGCTGACCTGGGTTCGATTCCTTCGCCCCCCCTCCCCCCTCGGAGAGCCCGGCAAGCTACTGAGAGTATCCCACCCACACGGCAGAGCCTGGCAAGCTCTCCATGGCGTGTTCAATATGCCAAAAACAGTAACAAGTCTCACAAAGTCTCACAATGAAGACGTTATGTTGCCTGCTCGAGCAAATCGATGAACAACGGGAGGACAGTACTACAGTGCTACTATATAATGTATAGTTAAGGAAATAAATTAGAAAATATGTGTCTAAGACAAAAGCAGAAAGAGCTAAAAGAGCTAAACACCTGGGGACAATAGCTAAGAACAGGGAACACTGAAGGGTCAGGGTCGACACTGAAAGAGGAGAGAGTCAGAAAGATGGAGAGTGGCCAGTTGGCAAGCAGAAAATCAGGAATATAAATCATACCAGAAGTAAAAGGGAGATAATGAAAGAACAGAAATTAACTTCACTTCTAAAATGCCGAGCAACATGCCATAGTGTAACAGGGATAAGCTAGAAAGAAAAGTGAAAAACAAAACAACTTAAAACAGCTACACAAGTGCAATGCCTCAGAAGAACACATTTCCTCTACTTTGAGGGAGTTAGTTCTTCAATCTTTAAAGGTGCACTATGGGCATCAAGCAGATACTTCCTGTAATCGGAAGGTATTTGGCAAATCTAATTTTCCTTTCTAATGATCACTGTGACTTAAAGATGGCTCAGATGATGCGTTCAGAAACGAGGTCTTTTTCAATCACTTTTACAAATAATTCTTTGTGCTGTGCTACAGTCTGTCTATTCAGAATTCGTGAACCTATTCTCCCCTCTGATTATGTCACTGCTAGCAAATCCCTTGATTTATTGGTTGCAGCAGAAACCATAGATTAATTGGCAAGATACAAGTGACATTGTATTTCTGTTCATCTCATTAATCAGATAAGATCAATTCTGGCTGATTAGTTCTCCTTCACACTGGTTAAATCCAGGCCCTGTAACTTGGTGCTATACAGATAGTGGAATCGTTTGTGACTGTTACTAGGGGACTGGAGTGATAGCACAGCAGGTAGGGCGTTTGCCTTGCATGCAGCTGGCTCAGGTTCGATTCCTGTCCCTCTCAGGGAGCCCGGCAAGCTACCGAGAGTATCCCGCCCGCACGACAGAGCCTGGCAATCTCCCCGTGGCACATTTGATAAACCAAAAACAGTAACAAGTCTCACAATGTTACTGGTGCCCGCTCAAGCAAAGTGATGAACAATGGGAGGACAGTGCTACGGTGCTACTTTGCTAGGGAGATTTACTTGCTTTTGTTGTGTACATTTGTGTGCACCTAGCACTTTCTAACTACCACTTTTGCAACTCTCCTCTTTCTTCCCTCAGAACAAGTTCAAACAAAAGGAATCTTCCTAAATTCTTTTCTTAGAGAAAGGGGAGAGGGGTGGGAGTGAGCACATTCACCAGCTCAAGTCGGAAAGAAGAGAAGAATCGAAACACGTTGAGAAAGGCATTTATACTTCATTAGTGTATACATTAGTAGAATAATTTTTTTAAGAAAAATAACTTAAGAAAATAATTAGATCGGCAACTGTAAGAAATCAAGTATTTTGAGAGATTTACTGCTGCTTTCTATAGCTTTATTGACTATTACCAACTTTCAATATGCTTCAAATAATTAAATACTGCAACTGGGACATTAAAAATACAAACTAATTTACCAAAATAATTGTATTCTTAATATTATGTACAGTATTATACATTTTACATTACATAAAGTTTTTATACATAAAGGTAAGATTTATGATCACTGAAAATTGAAAGTACACTTGAACAACATTCCTAAGCATGTGAATATAGTCACTCAACTGGGATCATCAAGACCATTTAAGAGCATGATTATTAAAAACTAAAGTTACATTCAATGGTAGAAACTGGTTTGTTTTTATTAATTTGGGAGTATTATTTCAAACCACAGGCATATAACTTTATTTTATATAAAGATCTTTATGCTTGAGAATGAAATGTCTCTAATGACAATTTTATTTTAAGGAATTTTCAAAATTAAAGTCACTCAAATTTCTTATACAAGGATTAACACAGAACCAATCCCTGGAAAAAGAAGAGTTATTAGAGCCTACCATATTATCATGTGTACCTCACTGTAGTTTTAACATTGCAAAATTTAATTTTTAATTGTACATATTGTACCATTTTACGGTACAATCTGATATGCCCTCATTCTTGGCATCAAAGTAATTATATTCCAGGCACACAGAGAAATGTATATATAGGTATTACTGCAGGGAACTTGATACTGAAACCAGGATGTCACTGGCTGACTTTGTGGACAAGGTGTGGGGGAATCTCTGAACGGGTCTACGATCCAGAAATCACTACCCATACACACTAGTCACTAAACAACCTACTAATGGGCAGCACCTTGTTTGAATACTGAAACACCTAAGCCCAGAATATTATTTGTTCTAAGTTTTAGTGCTTCCTAACTTATAATTTGTATTCCTTTCAAGAGCAATCTGATTTTATGTAAAACCCTACATATTTCTAATTGATTTTAAAAGTCTAAAGGAAAAAAAGCCACATATCTTCCCAGTCAAACGTCATGTCATTCTTTACATTGATGCTGTCATAGCTACTAAGACTGGTGAAAATTATTTCACAGTCTTGCACAAGCACCTCGCAAAGGCAGCAACTGTACACCAGTTATTCTTAAGTTTGCACAGCATTTGGCGGTATCCCCTGTTTTGAAACCCTGTACTGTTTCAAAGGCAAACAACAAAACACCTAGGAAATAAGAAGATAGAAAAGTAACAAGCTTAAAACATATACAAAATCTAATTCCTTTCCAACATTGCATAATCTATGTAATATGAGACTCAGAACCTGTTCTGTTATTTTCCTGTTTAGCTGAATATAAAAGGAGCTCTAACCTAGGTTATCAAAATATATTCATATAAATGTATGGTGCATTTCTAATACAAAAGTTTAAAAAAAGTCTAAATTCAAAATTTTTCTTATTAAATATCCTAGAGTTCAGTAGGCCAATTCATTTTTGAGCAGCTTGAAATAAGTCCATTGGCTGAACACTATGATACTGGGCATATCTACATTTCAGCTCTTCGGTGTGACTTCTCCGCGACAGCAGCCCCGTCCTCCTCCTCCTCTTCATCCTCCAGGTAGTTTGCCTCTCGGCCTTTGGGGTGCTTCTCGACTCGAACCTCTTGTTCTCCTCTTTCATTGTTTTTATTGTCATCGGCCTTAAAGGGGAAAAAGAAAAGAACTATGAGCTAGAATGCTGAGTTAGTGACAAAAATAATTTCTCTTTTTAAAAAAGTACCAAACTATAATAATAATAAGGCCCTCCCGTTGATCGTCGATTTGCTCGAGCGGGCCCAGTAACGTCTCCATTGGAGACTTTGTTGTTACTGTGTCTGGCATATCGAATACTCTCGGTAGCTTGCCAGGCTCTCCGAGAGGGGCAGAGGAATCGAATTCGGGTCGGCCATGTTGGCCGCTTGTAAGGCAAACGCCCTACCCGCTGTGCTACCAAACTATGGAAAAGAAAAAAAAGTTCCAATTAAATTACTTTGGGGAAAAAGGAAAACAAGCGAAGAAATATAGTCTTTAGGTACTACAATCTTTCCAAATCTTCACGATGTCACAAAAATCTCGCAATTCTTCATTGGCCTATACAAATCTTAGTATGCCCATTCAACTAGAGCAACAGTACAGCAGTAGGGCGTTTGCCTTGCGCGCGGCCAGCTCTGCCGAGCCGGGTTCAATTCCTCTACCCCTCTCGGATAGCCCGGCAAGCTACCAAGAGTATCTCGCCTGCACAGCACAGCCTGGGAAACTACCTGTGACGTATTGGATATGCCAAACACAGTAACAAGTATCACAATGGAGATATTACTGGACCAGCTCAAGCAAATCGATGAACAATGGAAGGACAGTGTTACAGTGCAAGAAGCCTGAAGGCACCAAAAGGCTGCTGATGCACTTGCCCTGCAGGTACTGGTTGACCTGTTGGTGGCACCTATATATATATATATATATATATATATATATATATATATATATATCCATGTATATATCTCCAACATATGTGCACAGTCACATACTTAGCAGAAACACGTATCTACACATACATTTTCATCATAAGTCTCTTCACCATTATGTTCCAATTCCCTTTTTTTCTCTTCAGTCAAATCTTCCTGACCCTAAAACAAACCAGAGATAACAGGTGACATTTTACTTAAATATATGCAAGAAAGGCTTCCAAAAAGTTAACACCAAGTAATAAAAACAAAATCAAAATAAATCTGAATAAAAGTTAAAAGTGAAAGATTTGTCTATCATGTATGAAAACAGTACATGAAAAATGTACTACAGGGCTTGCCATAGCCATACTGCCGGACCCCGGGCCAGGCTGTTTCATCCAGGGCACCCCGGAACAGGGCAGCTGAGGCCCCTCCCCGCCCCAAAGAACCCAGCCCTGGCAGCTGAAAACCTTCGAAACTCAACCACCCCCATGCTCACGGCCGCTCTCCCCCAGCTCAGGGCAAGCCTCACCCATTCGAGGCCGTGTGACACCTCATACCTCACACCACTAATATTCCAAGAGTAGCGCACCACATTTGATGGGATTTAAATCAGAAGGCAACCAATCTTAGAGGAAAATATATTTTTACAGATATAAGCACACAAGGCTCAACCTTTAACATATTATAGAAGGGCTTAATCACTTCTGGGTGAAATATAACAATCTTCACACACTTTCCTGTGAGGAAACTTTTTGGAGCATTTTCAGCAATTTATTCATAACTAACAATACAAAGAAAATTATTTCAGTTCTGTTTTGGGGCAGGGGTTGGGGTCAGGATGGAAACATCCAAAATATGGTGGTGAGAAGGTGTAATGGTGGTGCGACTGGTGTTCAAATATTAAATGCAATCAAATACTGTGAACTACTTTATAAAAATAAGATAATTATATTAAAAATGTATCACAAATTAATCTGATTCTGAATCTGAAATTTTTATGTTTACATTTCTGATTTCTTGAATAAGGGTCGAGTATATCTATACAGTTTAAAAACTTTTCCTTTTCAAAAAAAATAGAAAAACCAGAATTCTGAAGGCTCTAACAGAACGTAAGTAAAAGCCAGGGAGCATCTGTGTTACTGAGCAATTGACAGTGCAATTCTTTATAGCACTGAACGAATGAAAAAAATCGATGCAAAAATAACTTTTTATAAAGAAACAAAAAATATACTATCCAACAGACAATGTAGATGCAGAAACAATGTGCATACATATACGTATATATAAATATTTCTATAAGAATAAAATTTCTTTAGCTGAAATATTTATTATAATTTAATTTCTTCATGAAACAGCCCATTAAACTACCTCAAATCTCTACCTATTTTTGATATCCTTAACATTTCTGATTCAATTAATTTTCATTTAATATATACTATTACTTTTAATCTCATCGATCAAAATTTTTTTCAAAATGCCAATCAACATATATCTGTACACATGTTAAATAATCTCTAATGATCACATTCCACAAAAATCCAGAGTAAACTATGTGTTGATTTATTTTGAAGACTTCTGTCTATGCCTAAAATTATCAAGGTAAACTATCTTAAAATATGCTTTCAATTGCTTATAAATTTTATTTGCAATAATCATTCTAAAACATACAATCAAATATGCTTTAGGATGAGTCTTAAAATTTTGTCACTGAGACAAGTTCTCCCCTCGTGCCACCAGGGGCTCACTGTCCTTCCTGGCAGTGGGCTGCCTCTGTCGGGCCTCCTCTGCACCCAGCGCCCAGTGACTGAGTCGCACTCTTCCTGGCAGACAGGCATCTACTCTGTGCTGTCACTGTGGCCCTGCCAGCCCAGTCGTCAGCCTCCAAAAAACATCGTGATCCCTTGACTCCTAGAAGGGACTGATGATACGTAACATATCTGGGTGGAGGTGTGAGAGAGAAACAAGTGCCTCTCAAAATGACGCTACTGAAACTCCAATCCAAGGGAATACACACTGTGTCGTATGTGCACTATGCTCTTTGATGCAGAACACGGAGTAAATTTGTACCCTGTAACCTTCGAATCAAAGCACAGACTTGTGATATCTCCATCCTGTACAACACTGACATCCCAGTCGTAGCACACCGGATTGGATGGGACATAACCAATCTTGATGAACAAAAACATGACCACAGAAGACTTCATTCGCAACAATAGCTTAGTAAACCCTCACAAAAGTACTTAATATCCCCATAGTAAGACACAATTTTCACATATATTTTTTCTACAGAAATATTTTTTGATCACTTTGTTAGCCATTTAGTGGTAAAAAGCAACATGAAATAAATTATTGTGGGCCCATGATTGGGGCAGGCTTGAGAAGAAGGAGACAATGGTGGAGGGAAGGCAACGGTGGCGGTGAGAGTGGTGTTGGAATATGGAATGCTTGTAACACATCACCATAAACAACCTTGCAAACCATGCTGTTTAAATAAAGTGGGGGAGGAAAGAAAGACATCCTGGCTTTTGATTCATTTGTTCAATCAGGCTGAGATGGGTGCCCTGTCTCAGCAGCAGGGCCTAGCACGGCCCATTACTTCTCTCCTGTCTCTAGTCACAGGACATCAACAAAATTCCACGGAACATTGGGGATGAAAACAATGAAGCCCTTATTTGGTACTAAAGCCTAACTAAAACATCACTAAATTGCTAAAGTGTCCCTGTCAAATCCAATAAATAAAGACATGTCTCCGATAGCCTTAATGATGAAAAAGTATTAGTGAACACCAAGCATGCTTTAGCTGATGTTCGGATGGAACTGTCTTTAAACTGCTATATGGAGAAAAGAATATATGTATCCAGATTGGCAAGTTTTTTTCTGTAAAGGGACAGATTATAAATATTCAGGTTTTCTCAACCATAAGATCTCTGTAGCAACTACCCAAATTTATCCTTGCAGCTCAGAATAATCTTAATCAAAGTACAAACCAATAGAGTTGTGTTCCAAAAAGATTTTATTTACAAGTAGAGCTTGTCTTTTGCTAACTTGTAATACAGACAATGGAGTTAGGAAGAAATGAATTAAAATTTTTGCTTGGCAATTCTTCTGGTCACTTGATTATAAAAAAAAAATCTAAGCACATGCAAAAAAGGAATCTAATTCGATGAATTCTTTAGAGCTAAGGCTCAAAAGTGATCTCTTTGTTGCCACAGTTGCACCACCTATCACGTTTAGATACTTTTTTTTTTTACTAAATTCCTCTTCAAAAGACTAGATCTTACATAATTTCAATCTTCTTGGTATCCATCTTTCAAATCAAGAAAAAATTTTAATACATTTATTTAAAAAATTTGGACTGAGACTCTTTGGTCTATAATACTGTTAACAATGTATTCTCATTCACGCAATTCCAATACCACACCCATCACTAGTGTACCCCACCTCCGTCCTCCAGGGACCCAGAAACCCCTATCTTTCAACCACTTGTCCTAGAACTGCTTCTCTAAAAAGGGTGCTTCTAAAACATCAGTTATCAGTTGGGGGCCTTGTGGAGAATTCTGACTCTCAGTGCTAAAGGTGGCTAAAGTCTCCAAGGATTATGTCTGAATTTTTTCTGTATTCTCCAAGGTGATTCCTTTTTTTTTTTAAATTATTTTTTATTAGTGAGACATCATGAGGTACAGTTGTAGACTTACAAATTTTTTGCTTGGGTTACTATTATACAATAATCAAATACCCATCCCTCCACCAGTGCCCATTTCCCACCACCACAGATTCCAGTATCCCTCCCATCCCCCATCCCCCCATCTCACCCTGGCTCTGTGGTAGGGCATTCCCCTCTGTCCTCTCTCTCCTTTTGGGTGTTGTGGTTTGCAAAAGAGACATTGAGTGGAAATCATGTTCGGGCTAAAGTCTACTTTCAGCACGCTTCTCCCATCCTGGGAGGATCCTCCCAACACCCTTTATTTGGTGCTCCCTTCTCCATCTGAGCTGCCATTTCCCCTAGCATGTGTGGCTGGCCTCCAAGCCATGGAGCAAAATTCCTGGTACTAATTGACTGGTTAAAGAAACTTTGGTACATTTACACAATGGAGTACTATGTAGCGGTTAGAAAAGATGAAATCATGAAATTTACATACAAGTGGTACTACATGGAAAGTATCATGTAAAGCGAAATGAGTCAGAAAGAGAGGGACAGACATAGAAAGATTGCACTCATCTGGGGAACATAAAGTAACAAAATAGGAGACTAACACCCAAGGTGATTCTTAACCACAACAAAGACTGACCACCACTCACATGACTGCAGTGAATGCCATGCTAGAAACACCTCTCATGAGTTCTTTCTTCTCTTCAGCCAGAAATTTTAATTTACCAGTTGTTAATACGATCTAAGGTGAGAAGTACTTATTTACTGGTTTTGGGCTATACAACTATGTACAGGGCTTACTCCTGGTTCTGTGCTCAGGGATTACATCTAGTGGGACTCTGTGGGGCTGCATGGGATGCCAGGAATTAAACCATGACCAAGTAAAATCTTATAATTGGCTCAAGCAAAACTAACAGAGCACTGATCCCCCAAACAGGCATTACCTGGCCACCCCTGGGCTCCTTAGTTTCTCTAATCAAAGATGTTATGAAGAAATCAGGAGGCTAAGATGAAGAGTCCAGAGGAGTATAAGGCATGTGACAGAGGACAGGCTTCAGCAGCATCAATTACAGAGACAGATACCACCGCTAGTCCAGCGATATGTAACAGAGGTGTCTCACTACCTCTAGACATGGTGACTCACGAACCAGCAGTCCAAGGTAGGTACGTGAGTCACTGTCACTGAAGGTAGCCAGGGAAGCAGAGTATCCACTCTGCTTCAGTTATACTGGGGAAAATAAAGACTCAACATTTTCAAGCACTTATCTGATCTATATTTGTTGGACCTTTCAGTAATTTTACATCATACACAGCACTTGCTGGCAATGTCAAATTTGTATTGCTTCCTCATAAGTAGGTAAGAAACCTGGAATATAAGCAACATTAGGATGAACTCTCTAGAATAATGTTGCCCACTCTAGCAATTCCAAATCATAAAGCATATCGGCTAATCGTGTATTTTTGTCTCAGGATGGTAAGGCTGCTACACTATGATGAATGCAGGTACGACGCACATTGCTAAAATCCCACCTGCTGCGGGTCCTCTGCTCTCAGGGACAACCTCCTGGGCTATGCCCATGCACACCTGTAGCTTGGAAGGACTGAATTCCTCCGTGGGAACAAAGGCTAAGGGAAGCGCCAACTGTGGGCAGATATGCCCACGGCAGCAATGGCATCCCAACCGACAGTGGGCAGCTAAACACTGAGGGAGACGAGATGCTCAGTGATAGAACAATGCATGGCTTGCGGCCACCCCCACAAGAGCTGCCTCAATGCACATACACTTATTAAAGGTGCGAGGAAAGTGACTCCATATACTATATCCGTTTCTTCCCCCACTCCCAGTTTTACCATGTACTAGTTTTACTCTCCCTCCCCGAGTTTTGCTCTCATTCCATCCCCCCGCCCCCGAGTTGTAGACACAATCCCCTGATACAATTGCAACGCTGTTACCTTTTGGGTCTCCACTTCATAAAATTGTAAATAAATCTTAAGGCCTTATTCAATTCAGTGAGCACTTTACTTATTTGCGGGCAGGGTGTAAGATTCTGCTGAAGTCCTGTTTTTTGATCCCCTCTTTCCATGTGATGCCACAGTCCCTGTGTTTATCATTGCCATCCCTACAACACTACTTTTCCTTTTTCTCATTTTGTTGCAGTCTGTTGAGAACGCTTTTTGTTTTTTAATGGGGGAGATTCCTGAATGGTTCTCAGTAGGAAAAGAGCCACTCCCAGCAATTCTCAGCCTGGACAGCTGGACGAGAGGGCCTGAGGGCCATACCCGGGTGTGCTCGGGTCACAGGTGGCAATGCTCGGGGAGTGAGACAGGAGCTGCCACTCAGCACACGAGATCACCCCTTGGTCATTTATACTCCGGATTCCCTGAGAACCACTCTCCGTCCTCAAAAAAAAGATCTGGAAACGACGAAAAGAGCTAGAACAATCAGATGAGCAAAAGAGCTAGAAAGAGGTGGGATGATCCAGTAACTAAATCATTCTAGAACTCCAGAAAACGAAGACATCCAGAACCAGAAACGCTCAAAGGGCAGACAGGAACGTTACAGAGCATGAGAAAGGCCCGGCTGAGTGCTCACGGGCTCTCGGAGCTCCCCAAAGCAATTTAGAAAGAGGCGCTCGGTGCAGGGATTCTGGACGGTGACCGTGGGGGGGAAGGGCCCATTCCAGGTGAGACAGCAGGACCAGCAGGGAAGGCAGAGGGGCTGCCCGGGCACTGCTCCCAGGCAGCACTTCTCCGCCGTCACATTTCTCCTTCCCTCTTGCCTGTCTTTTTTCCTTTTCTGGTATTGATTTCTCTGTGAGTGCAGGATGTCTCTCCCCGATTCCCACCTTTAACTAATATATTATGAAGTAAAAAACCATCAGTGAGTAATTGTTAAGGTTATATGTACACGATGCTGAATTTTTTATATGGGAGAAAAAGTGAACCAGTTCTCTTTAATTCCACCAAAGATTCCTGGTATTTTATATACTAAGACCAAGTAATACTAGTCTAGACATCCCGTTACAAGGAAACTCCAGTAAGTTTCTTCGTCATGCCAAACACCTTAATACTCAAGGCTGCTAATTTCTCAGTTATCTTCTGAGAGGGCAGCTCAAGGTCATGACGAGAACTGAACCACAGTATGGAAAGAGCAGGCCACATGGCTTCTATACATTTAGACTCTTCATGCACGGTGCTCGTGGGTGACATGAGCAACATCCTTTCCCTATTTCTGACAGCAGCACATATGCCTAACATCAGCAATCCAAGGCTGCAACATGCAGGAACAGTAAGGAAGCAGTGCTGGCCTGGGGGACAATGGGGCTGAGCGCCGCAGAGCACGTATCCTCAATGGCTATCCAGTCAAGATGCTGTCTGCTCTCAGGCTGCCATTTGTCTACACTCACAAGTCACACATGGACACACAGAGACACACACATGCGTGCTTGCAAGAACAGACATCCAGGTGAAGAGTGATTCAACACGAAGCTTTCATTTACTGGTCCAGAGAGAAATTAAATGATGTAGCCACCATCTGAGGATCAGGCGTACTGTAAGAGCAGTATAGGTCTCTCCCGGCTCAGACTGTGGAGTGCTGGGACTAGAAACCAGCAGTGCCAATCAATTACACAAATACGACATGACAACAGATGCCTTACACATCTAGTTACCGATGACATACTGTTACTGTACACTTAACAACAACGAAGTTTACAATAAAAAGCTCATTCACAGTTTAACAAACTTCATCCAAATCTATTTTTCCTTTTATTAATTTTAATTAAGAACTAATTCTTATTAAGAAGTCCAAAATAGAAACCACAAAACAAACCCTTTTAAAAATGTGTGGGATATTTTAAGTATATCCCAAGACACTAACAGGATATCCCTGCGAGGTACAGATTGTAGAGATAACTAAGGAAAAGTTACAGGGTTTAGACCAGACTCCCCCAACAATGCAAAACTAAGTTCTCTCTTTTTGAGTGAAGAAAATTCAAAAACCATCAGGAGAACTATGTAGACCTAAGCCCACCAAATGTGCCAGCCCTTCGCTACCTCCATCCCAAGGTCCATTTCCACCTGACGCGACCCCTCTTTACATCCTGCCCCATCTTCCTAAACATTTCTACGGAAAGCCTGTATAAGTGAATGCTGCTGAGCTTTGCTCGGGTGAGTGGAGGTTACAGGCCAGCTGCTCAGCCCCTGAATCCCACCTTACCTCCTCCTCTCCCTCTTCTTGGTACTGCTCATCCACATTATCCTCTTGCTGGTCTGGATTTCCTGCCATCTGCTGAAACAAAAGGGGAAGTTCATGTTACAGTACACTAGAGATGCATTTTTACAGAACTCTGGGACACAGAACAAACAATACTGCTATCAGAAGCGCATTTTCAACATATCAGTGACCAGGAAATAATGAACAAACATTCCCACCACAAAGCCTGGGATATCCGTCACCCTGGCATCTGAGTTTGGGCATATTATTTCATACAAAGGCCTAAAAACCAACCAAAGAGACAAACCTGTCAATGTCAATTATAACTAACCACGTACATAAACTGGAAATTTATCAAAACACCCAGGTAAAGATTTCCCTCTGTAACTGGCATTAACTCACCACCAAATGCTCTTCCATTTCTGCATTCTCTTGCTTTTGATTACTTTGTTTTTGATCTTCATTTTCATCTGGCAAATTTTCTTCTCTCACTTGCTCAGCTTCCTCAAATTCATCTTCTCCTTGATTATTAGGGTCATCTGCTGGGTTTATATCCTCTACAGCTGCCCTCTGTCAAATTTTAATAAAATGAAACCATCACATCAAAATCCAGGATCAAGTTTAATATCATTTGAAAGGCCACACACTGGCAGTAAATGAAATCGTCCTTCACCAGATTGTTCACATCTACCTCTGCCAAAACTCTCAAGTATATATCCTACTGTCGAAAGACAAAAAATTCCAGTTTCATTTGTCAGAGCCTGATAAATGAGAATAAAGTACAAAGAGCACTTCTTTGCATCTCTGTAAATAATTATTTACAAACAAAATAGTTGTCAAGATGCACTATTACAAGGAACGCACTATTACAAGCACAGCTAGGCAGCATGAAAAATACAAAGCAAAAGACCATGTACAAAAAAAAAAAAAAAACCAGGAAAATTAAGTAGGTAAATCCTAACTTCACTGGAACATTGGTACACGCTAGTCTTCCTTTGAAAACATTTAGTAGCACTATATATATATTTTTTTCAAAATTCAGTGATACAAGAGGTACTGTTTGAGCCTTTATTTACACATACACACACACATATGCATATGGACTTTTTTTTTAAAAATTTGAATCACTGTGAGGTACACAGTTACATAGTTCAGGACCAATTCAGGATTGGTTATCAGTCACACAGTTTCACCACCTGGCCCTTCAACAGTGGGTAAAAAGAAGATGGAGAAAGAGAAGGCTGACATTAGCCAAAAGGGCCTAAGTAAACAGGTAATCAATATAAATTATCAATTTCTGGTAGAAATCAAGTTTCTGCACAACACATTACCATGAAATAGAGATGTTGCACTTTCCAATAATGGGGATAAGATGACTGGGCCTAAAGAAACCTTGGTATATATTTTGAAAAGTATCTCTCCCGGACCAGAGAAACAGGACAGTGTCAAGGTGGTTGGCCGGCACACAGCCAACCTGGGTTTGAAACCAGGCACCACGCTTGGTCCCTGAGCACTGCCAGGAGTAATCAGTGAGCACAGAACCAGAAGTAAGCCCTGAGTACTGTCAGGTGTGGTCCAAAACACTGAAAATTAAAAAAAAAAAAAAGAAAATGGTATCTTTCCCAGGTGGCATCTTGCCATGCCACCTTCCATGAGTTCACAAGTCAATAAATGTCCTTCACATTATTCTAGAGCTATCTCAGTTTTATATGTAAGCTCCCACAGTCCCTTTCACAATGATACATGCCCCACAAAGCCCCCTCCCCAGCGAGGCCTCCTTGGAGCGCATGGCCAAAAGGGGGTGCCACAAGCCTCAGGAGCGTGCCAGAGGGAACCAAGCAAGCACACAGAAGCGGCCCCTCCACCAACAGGTAGCGTGGCGTGGCCTCCAGGGCAGCAGCGGTGGCAGTAAATTTTCTTTTCCCAGCACTCTGGACTCCCAGCTCAGCCTCCATGTCCTAATCCTAGTAAGCACATCCTCACTACCCAAACACATTAGGCCATACAGCACTAACCTATTCCAATCAAAATACTCCCAAAACTCACCACTATCTCATGTGCTGGGGGGAAAGGCAGGTGAGATGGAGAAGAGACCACCAAGTAAATGATGGTTGGCGGGATCGCTCGGGACAGTAGATGCGTGCTGAAAGTAGGCTATGATGATGGCTGCTTAGTGCCGATATGCAAACCATAACACCCAAAGGGAGAGAGAAAGAGAGAATGTGTCTGCCACAGAGGCAGGGGGTGGAAAGAGGTGGGGGTGGCGGGAGAGACACTGGGAACACTGGTGGTGGAGAACGGGCACTGGTGGAGGGATGGATACTCAAACACTGACTGAAACATAGCACTGCACTGTCCACTGTCCTCCCGCTGTTCATCGATTTGCTCGAGCGGGCACCAGTAACATCTCAAAACAAATTGCGAGACTTGTTGTTACTATTTTTGGCATACTGTATACGTCACAGGCAGCTTGCCAGGCTTTCCCGTGCAGGCAAGATACTCTCGATAGCTCACCGGGCTCTCCGAGAGGGGCGGAGGAATCAAACCCTGGTCAGCCATGTCGGCCAAGTGCAAGGCAAATGCCTTACCCGCTGTGCTATTGCTCCAGCCCTACTGAAATGTAATGAAAATTTGTAAGTCTGTAACTGTATATCACGGTGATTCATTAAAATAAAATAAAAAAAAAAGATACATGCCCTCATCAAATTCAGATTTTAGAACCAGGGCTGGGAAGAAATGAGAAGATTTGTATGAGTTTCCTGACACTCCAGGGTCCTCCAAAGAACAGGGTTCTTAACTGAAGCGATAAATGCATCGCAATGACCCTGAGCCTCAAAGATTCGACCTCTTATTAGACAACGATTCTAGTTAACTTTAGAGCCTTGTACATGCTCAGAGCTCCCACGGCCTTCTGCTGATGTTATCCACAGGTCCCTGGTCCCCAACCATCTACTTCATTCAAGTGCAAAAGACACTTTTCTTGGGAAGAAACAGTAAGAAATCATTACATTCTAACTGAATTGCAATTACTCCATGATCTCTTGTCATAACTGATTTTCTTCGGTGCACTATCAAAGATCTGTGTAATTTATAGAAAAGTTGTAATATTCCTTTCAAGAAAAAAGTTCCCAAATCTTTGCAAAAGTTCTTAAAAATGTTTCTCCTCTAACTCATGAAAGTTAACAGATGTTGTTGTTAATTTCAAATAGCTAGATGCTCAATTAAACCTCAATAAAGCTGAACAATTTCTTCTGCTGAAAATAATTAAAACTAAGAGGAGACGCAACTTGACGATCTCTAACTAAAGGCCAGAAGGTAGTACTGAGGAGAGGCGCAGGCTTAACAGTCGCCAGACATGGGCTCGATTCCCGGCACCACTTCACTTAGTCCCTTGAGCAGTGCCAGGAGCAGCCCTGGGCAGGGACAGCTGGGGTGGCCTGAGCACCCCTGGCACCACAAGGACTGAGAAGCATCGCACCTTCAGGCCTCTGGATGGACCAACAGCCAACGATCCTAGGAGAGCCCCACAGCAACTGACACTGCCCAGGAGACCTCCCCATGCACACGCCCAAATAAAGAAAAATAATAGAAACCCAAATATTTTCCAGGATTTCCAGGGGAAATAAACATTTCATGAAAAATAAAGATCACATGGTGAAACAATCCAATCACAAAGCATTTCCCAAGCATCAGTAATGGAAATACTCTTTGCGGACTTGCAGTTTTGTCTCAGGCATTTTCAGGTTTCTCTTCTTTCTCTTGGGCTTCTAGACCTTTCCCATTCTCTTGCTCCCTTCTATTTTCCTGCTCTCTACAGCTCTAATTCTCACTGAAAATACTGTAGGGTCAGGGTTCCCCGGAGCATGCTGACAGCAATGTTAAGTCAAGGGCTGGTGAAGGTGTTCTGCCATATCTCTGCATAAGTTAAGGCATTTCCACTTTCAGTAACCCTCAAGCAGGATATGAATCCTTTCAAACAGGCACATTAGATAGCACAGACTGTTTTATAAACAGCAAAAGATGACAAAAGGGCTGAAGCAATAAAAGTGTAAAATTATCTACATTATTACATTATTTAACATCCGTTCCTTTTACTTCGAGGCAAGATCAAGGTTCCAGATAAACTGGCTGAATTGGAGGTCAATGTCCTTTTTGGTAAACACAAAGAACATTCCTGAATATTGGGTCTCTACTTATTTATAATATTTTGTTGCTTAAATAACATGGTTCCTGCTCAACTTCCTCTTTTGGTTTTTGTTTTAGGGTCACACCAGGCAATGCTCAGGAATTACTCCTGGCTCTGCACTCAGGAACTACTCCTAGTGGTGCTCAGGAGACCATACGGGATGTCGGGGATCGAACCATGGTTGGTGAGTGCAAGGCAAGCACCTTAGCTGCTGTACTATTTCTCCAGTCCCTACTTCTCATTTTTTAAAGCACACACTCATTCATGTAGTTACTGATACGGTCACTGCATGGCTGGGGGATTAGAGTCACATACCTAATGCCCTTGGTGGTTGCACATGTTCGATAATGCTTAAGTTCTTCTCTACGGTTCTCGATCCACCACAATTACATTTTTCATCTACTGCAATTATCACATATTTCAGTGCATCCTCAGTTATAACCCATTAATCTAAAAATCTGTTAGTTTTCCTCAATTATAACCCATTAATCTAAAAATCTCTGCAACTTAAGCCTATTCTCATCACACACATAATACATCCTGTGATTTGGTTTAGCAACGACTGCTAAAAGTATAATTACTGGAGTCACTTTCCTTCTGTGCTGACTAAGTAAGAGACCTATATGGAGTGGGAAGCACTTTTGGCTAAAGTTTCCTTTCAGTTCTGTGAGGTTACCGGAATCATGACTGGGTGTCACTTACATCTGCTTCAGATTCAGGGTCCGTTTCACGTGGCCCTTGTTCGCGAGGCTCGCGTTCATTTTCAGGATCTTCTGCCTCATCTTGGTGTTGATTGTTTCTCTCATAAGCTAGCAAATCAAAGCACTAGCATCAGCCTGAGTGAAACAGACAGGAGTCCTCCCTACCAACTCAAAGAAAGGTCACCGCGGGCTTCCTCAGACCTCCTGTTCCTCAACCTCTCTTCCAGCACAGTTAGAGAGGACGAAGGAAAACATAACAATAAACATAAAAAAATGTGGTACAAAACAGCCTCCCGGGAAGGTATACAGATAATAAACATAATTCTGATTTCACTATACCTGACAAAACAACTATATTAAACTATTATTTTGGGGGGCAGAGAAACTATAGCAGGGACAGCAGGCCTTGCATGTGGCTGACCCAGATTTGGTTAGCAACACCCCATATGATCCCCCAAACTTGACAGGAGTGATTCTTGAGTGCTGAAGAGAACCACCAGGTGTGTTTCCCAAACCAATGTGTGTGTGTGTGTGTGTGTGTATGTTAGTTTTGTAAGAAATCTCACCACCTCCTTCTACTTCTTGGATACCCTGATCGTCTGCTCCCTGAACAATATCATTATCCATAGCATCATATCGAGCTTGCTGCCTATAAGAAACACAAAACATCATCAATTCAGTGACACAAATTAAGCGCATAGTTTGACATAAGCTATTTATCTTTAGAAAGGTAAGAGATACATTTTGCAACTATTTATTCCAACATCCTAATGAGTTTTAAAAAATGTGTTAGGTATAATATTCCAATAATATTTTCCAAAAAATACCTCTACAAAGATAAAAAGCCTTCAAATGTTAAAGTGAAAAGCAGGAAATCTGCTTTTGAGACCACAACTACCTAAAATTTCAACTGGAAAAAAATTCTGATTCCTTTAGAGACCCATCTGTGGACCCCAGAGATTCAGCTCACAGGGATGAGTGCAGGTTTTGGCATGACGGAGGTCTGGGATTGACCCCAGCGTCACTGGGAGCAACCCGGAGCACAGAGCTGAAAACAGTTCCCAGAAAAGCCAACTACAGTTGAAGGACCACAAGAAAGTAGCCTAACGCTCAACTGCCGGAACTGAACTCTCAGAGAGTTCTGCTTCAGTTACGTGAACCTGAGTTCCCCGAGAACACACAAAGCTGCTTCCAGAACCCAGGAAAGGGACCACAGATGCCAACGGGGGATACCTGAGCTGCTCGGAGTGCTGCGGCCGCTCCTCCTCGGGCCCAGCATGCCTCTGCTGAGGCATCTCTCTGGCAAAAAGCTGCTGCTGCTGCTGCTGCTGCTGCTGCTGCTGCTGCTGCTGCTGCTGCCGCTGTCGAAGCAGGTGTCCCTGCAGCCTGTGCTGGTGCAGAGCCTCCTGGTGCTCTCTCAGCCTCTGAGCCTCCTCCGCCCGCCTGGCAGCCAGTCTCTGCTGCTCCAGCTGCTCCTCATACGGGGAGCGGAACTCGGACTTGGCTGAAGGGTCCACCTGGGGAAAAGGGAGAATGGGTGGGTGCTGGGGTTGCCCCTTGACTAGTTTCTCATGATAAAATCAGGAAGCAATTCGTTCTTAAAATCAATCTGATAGGTGAACTGGGGAACTACGATATTACTTTGGCCAAGGTGACCCACAACCAGAACTCCTATTTCTCAGCTCTCTCTGTGCATATTTTTGCATGAGTAAGCCCTGAGAACGACCAGGCGTGGCCCCCAAACCAAATAAGTGTGTGTGTGTGTGTGTGTGTGTGTGTGTGTGTGTGTGTTAGTTTTGTAAGAAATCTCAGCACCTCCTTCTACTGCTTGGATACCCTGATCTTCTGCTCCCTGAGCAGTATCATTATCCATAGCATCATAACAAGCTTGGCTTCTTGAAGCAGGTGATCATACTAATTTTCTGGAATTAAGGCATAATTTCAATGTGCTCCTTTGAACATGTACAAGAACACAAAAGCAGAATCAGTTTCAAATGTTAATTTGAGCACTAGGTGACCTGAAAACTAATTGGGCAATTTGTGGGTTGAAGCTGAGGCTAAGGCTTTTCCTTTCAGTGTTAAAAAACCTAGGAATGCTAATTAATTCTAGCAATATATATGCCAGTCTTAGGCTAAGCATATGAAAATTGAAAGAAAAAGTCAAATTTTGAAAAACTGGCAAGAGAGAGGACAAAGTTCTTTAAAGAAGCAAAGGCTTGAAAGGAGTACTTTCTAATTGAAGGAAACGGAATACAGGCATTCTTAAACTCTGCTCCTCACTGTGCTACCCACCAACTACTTTTCTTCCACCCCCACACTAATACAAGCAAAGTTAACACCAAAGAAAAACTGAGTGCAGAGTTGACAAGAATTCAACTAACGAGGACTTAGTACTGAAGAATGCATTATGAAGCAGACAAGACTGAGAGAAGGTTCTCAATGTTTAATCTAAGTGTGATCCACCCGCTGAGTCTAAATTCTCAAAGAGTCTAAATAAAGTCTTGAGAAGTTTGAGGTCACAAAAATTCAGTTACAAATAAAGGATGATCACAGTCACGGTCATGGTCCTCCCGTTATTCATCAATTTGCTCGAGCGGGCCCAGTAACATCTCCATCGTGAGACTTGCTGTTACTGTGTTTGGTGTATCGAATACGTCACAGGTGCTTGCCAGGCAAAGGGGTAGCTTGCCAGGCTTTGCCGTGCGGGCGAGATACTCTTGGTAGCTTGCCAGGCTCTCCAAGAGGGGTGGAGGAATCAAACTCGGGTCGGCCATGTTGGCTGCGTGCACGGCAAACACCCTACCCGCTGTGCTATCGCTCTAGCCCCAAAGGATGATCAAGACTATTATTTATTGCAGTGCTTAGTACATTAGGTAAAGGTAAAGGTAAAGGCCCTCCCGTTGATCATCGATTTGCTCGAACGGGCCCAGTAACGTCTCCATTGGAGACTTTGTTGTTACTGTGTCTGGCATATCGAATACTCTCAGTAGCTTTCCGGGCTCTTAGTACATTAACCATAACATAAAAACATCACAAATGTCCAATGACAGAAGGAGGATTGAAAAAAAGAATGTGGAATATAGACACAATGGAGTACCATGCAGCCTAAGAAAAGGTGAAATCTAGTTCCGGCAATTTGGCTGTAACTAGCAGGTATCATGTTAAGCACAGGAAGCCAGAAGGAGGCCAAATTACTGAACAATCTCTTTTCTGTGATATATAAAGACAAAAGACAAGAGACAACATCAAGTGATGGGGATACCCTTGGTCCTTGATTATAGAACTGAGAATGTCAGGTGATTGGGTCAGGTGGTGCGGAAGGGGGAGGGAGCGAAGGCAGACTAGAGGCAATATTCGGGCATTGAGCGGGAAGCCTGGAAAGTATGATGCCGGAGAGGTAAGGTAAGTGTAGCACCAAAACCATAACTGGCCACTAGCAGCCCACTTTCAAGGACTCGATTCATCTCCCCGTATCCAGGTACAGGAGCGGTGGGGGTGGCCTCCAGGAACGCGCAGCCGGGCGCAGGCAGAGGCAGTTTTCAGGCCCAGATCACCAGGAACAGGAACCCAGGCAGGCCACATCACGAGCAGCCAACATTCAAGGACCTGCTTAATCTCCCCCTAGCCAGGTACAGGCCCAGTGGAGGTGGCATCCGTGAGTTATTCTCCCCCTTCATGTCCCATAAAGTAAAGTAAAGTAAAGTAAAGTAAAGGCCCTCCCGTTGATCATCGATTTGCTCAAGCGGGCCCAGTAACGTCTCCATTGGAGACTTTGTTGTTACTGTGTTTGGCATATCGGATACGTCACGGGGAGCTTGCCAGGCCCTGCCATGCGGGCGAGATACTCTCGGTAGCTTGCCGGGCTCTCCAAGAGGGGTGGAGGAATCGAACTCGGGTCGGCCATGTTGGCTGCATGCAAGGCAAACGCCCTGCCACTGTGCTATTGCTCCAGCCATGTCCCATAAGAACCATAAATTATCCTCAAGGTGGAACTTTCACCAGGGCAGCTCGATCACCAAAAACACATTAGGCCAAGAATTCACTAGCACCACTTCAATTAATAGTACTCGAAAAGCACAATAGTAACAGTGTGTGTGAAAGTCTAAACTGCACACGTCACAATGGTAAAGCAACGCAGAAGCCCACGAAGCTTAGTTAGTGAAGAGACTAGCCCAGAAGACCCCAACAGTAATGAAGCGCTAGACAACCTCTCTGACAAGGAATTTAGAGGGGAACTACTGAGGATGCAAAGGGAGCTGAAAGAAGCAATGGAAAGCACCACCAATAAAATTCAAGATTTGAGAACAGAAATGTGGAAAATACAAACAGAAATGACAGATCGAAAAAGCCTGGTAGGAGAATGGAAAAACTCAAAGGAAGGCCTCAGCAGCAGAGTCAGCTACTGAGAACAGAATCAGTGAGCTTCAAGATGAAATGCAGAGAATCTCCAGACAACAGCATAAAATAGAAAAGAGCCCCACAATGAACCAACAGATGTCAAGAGAAAATCGCGAAGAAGCCAAGAGGAATAACATAAGAATCATTGGAGTTCCAGGGGGACAGGAAGAAAACTGTGATGAAGAAGACACTGTCAAAGACATCACTGTTAAAACATTCCCAGAGCTGAAGAGCACATGCAACCACATTCAGGAGGCCCGAAGGGTACCAGCCAGAAGAAATCCAAATAAAAATACTCTAAGACACATCCTGATCAGAATGACGAAAATCATAGAGAAAGCAGCATGATCAAAGAAAGAAACTGCCTATAAAGGAGAATCCTTACAAGATTTACAGCCAACTTATCTGATGAAACCCTCAGGGTCCAAAGACAGTGGTGGGATACAGTGAAAAAACTCAATGAAATAAGTGCCTCACCAAAAATACTTTACCCAGCTAGAGTCTCATTCATATCAGAAGGAACAACACAGTTTCATAGATAAACAACAATCCAGGAACTTCATAAACTCAAAACCATGGTTATAAGAATGACTAAACGGGCTACTTTAACAAAAGAGAAGCCCCTAAAATACAGCAAACTTCTGCATAAAGATGGAACAAAACCCCACAACAATAATCTCTCTCAACGCAACAACTAAAAGACACAGCGTGGCAGGATGGATCCAAAAACTGAAGCCAATATTCTGCTGCCTGCAAGAAACATCTGAATAGGCAGAGCAAATACAGATTCAAAGTCTTAGGCTGGAAAACAATTCTACAGGCAAACAACTTCCTTGAAAAAGCTGGGGTGCCCATTCTGATATCAGACCACATTGACTTCAGACTGAAGAAGGCCACAAGAGACAGTGAAGGTCATTTCTTATTGACCAAGGGATCTGGCATGTATGTGGGGAGAAAGGGACACTCTTTCACTGTTAGTGGGAATGCCAACTGGCCCAGCCTTTTTGGAAAACAATATGGACATTCCTTAAAAAACTAGAAATAGAGCTTCCATCTGACCCAGAAATACCACTTCTAGGAATATATTCTGAGGGTGCAAAAAAGCACAGTAGAAATGACATATGTACCTGTATGTATGTTCACTGCAGCACTGTTCACAATAGCCAGAATCTGGAAACAACATGAGTGCCCGAGAACAGACGACTGGTTAAAGAAACTTTGGTACAAAGAGGTAAAGGACCTATACAAAAATTAAAAAAAAAACACTACTTCAAGAAATGAAAGAGGACACTAGGAAATGGAGACACATCCCCTGCTCATGGATAGGGAGGATTAACATTATCCAGATGGCAATACTGCCCAAAGCACTACACAAATTTAAAGGGATCCCTACCAGGATATCCACGACATTTTTCAAAGAAATAGACAAACACTGCTGAAATTCATATGGAGCAATAACCCCCAACGAATAGCCAAATCAACCCTTGGGAAAAAGAAGACAGGTGGCATCATCTTCCCCAACTTCAAACTGTACTACAAAGCAGCAGTAATTAAAACAGCATGGTATTGACTAGAAACAGACTTGCAGACCAATGGAACAGAGTTGAATATTCTGTCACAGGCTTTCAAATATATGATCATTTAATCTTTGATAAAGGAGCAAGAAATGTGAAGTGGAACAAGGAAAGCCTCTTCAACAAGTGGTGCTGGGAAAAATAGCTACCTGCAAAAAATGAACTCTGACCTCTGTCTAATGCCAGGCACAAAAGTCAGATCAAAGTGAATTAAAGACCTCAATATCAGACATGAATCCATAAGGCACATAGAAGAAAATGTAGGCAGAATCCTCCATGACACTGAAGCTAAAAGCATCTTTAAGGATAAAACACCACTAACCAAGCAAGTGGAAACAAACATAAACAAATCAAACCAAGAAGCTTCTGCACTTCAAAAGAAACAGTGATCGAAACACAGAGAGAGCCCACAGAATGGGAAAGAATATTTATCCAATACCCATCTGGTAAGGGATTAATATCCAGGATATACAAGACAATAGTAGAATAATACAAGAAGAAACCTCCAGCCCCATCAAAAAATGGGGAGAAGAAATGTAGAGAAGCTTCCTCAAAAAAGAAATACAAATGGCCAAAAGGCACATGAAAAAATGCTCCATATTGCTAATCATCAGGGAGGTGTAAATCAAAACGACAATGAGATATCATCTCACACCACAGAGACTGGCACACATTCAGAAGAACAAAAGCAACCGGTGCTGGCGTGGATGTGGGGGAAAAAGGGACGCTCTTTCACTGTTGGTGGGAATGCCCACTAGTCCAGCCTGTCTGGAAAACAATATGGACATTCCTTCAAAAACTAGAAATTGAGCTTTCATATGACCCCACCATACCACTTCTGGGAATATATCCCAAGGATACAAAAAAGCACAGTAGAAATGACATCTGGACCTGTATGTTCATTGCCACACTGTTCACAATAGCCAAAATCTGGGAAAAAACCCGAGTGCCCAATAACAGATGATTGGGTAAAGAAACTTTGTTACATCTACACAATGGAATACTATGCAGCTGTTTGGAGAGATGAAGTCATGAAATTTGCTTATAAGTGGATAGATATGGAGAGTATCATTGCTATGTGAAATGAGTAAGAAAGAGATGGACAGATATAGAATGGCTGCACTCATTTGTGGAATAAAATGAGACTGACTAAAATAACATGAGACTGACACCCAAGGACAGTTGCCAAAAGGGCCAAGAATATTGCTCCATAGTTGAAAGCCTGCCTCATGAGCTGGGAGAGAAGGTAGCTGAAATAGAGAAGGTATCATCATTAAGTCAGTGATCGTTGAAGGAATCATTCGGGACGGTATGTGTGCTGAAAGTAGATAAAGGTCCAAACATGATAGCCTCTCAGTATCTATACTGCAAACCATAATGCCCAAAAGCAGTGAGAGAATATGGGGGAAATTGTCTGCCATAGAGGCAGGGGGAGGGCTGGGATGGGGCGGGAGGGCGGGGGATCCTGGGGTATTGGTGGTGGAGAACATGCAGTGGTGGAGGGATGGGTGTTCAAACACTGTATGACTGAAACTAAAACATGAAATCTTTGTAACTGCATCTCAAGGTGATTCAATTAAAAAAAAAACCGCACAACTGTTAAAACTATTAAAACATGTGACCCAAACTACAATGAACTTTTTTTTAAGTATGCAAAGTGGTGGAGTGCTGGGGTGCATGAAGAAATCTTGAGGCATTGGTGAAGGAAAGCTGAATGGGTGTGTGAATTTCGAACAATGTCTGAATAAAATTCAGTTATTAACAGTTCTGTAAATGATGGTACTTAAACAAAACCTAGGAAAACTGTTTTAAAAAGATAAATAACTAGTGGCCAAATTTCAGCGTAAAGAACAAGTACCCAAATGCTGAGCATCAACTCAGGGAACAGTGAAAGAAAGAGACCTAGCTGCATTCAGAGAAGACTTAAATTCCTTTAGTTTCATTTACAATAATGATGACTTAGACTTTTATGACTTGTCCATATGAAAGGGGGACTGCTCACTAGGGGACTCTTGAACAAAGAATCTGGTTAAACATACATATTCAGCAGAGAGTTCTTTACAAAGAATTTTTACAAATTATACACCTTGATTACACAGTTCTTTACTACAGGTTTAAGGCAAACAATGTCCCCACTCCAACCCCACCAACTCCTAGTCCCCATTCCTCTACTGCCCACCCCAGATTACCTCCAACCCCCTCCACCTGAATCCCTGACAGTTACACTTTTAGTTTAGTTTGTGTGGGGGGGTCCTGTGTGTACGGTAGTGTTGGATCTAGTGTTTCAGCTGACTTCATCTCTCCACCATAGAGGGACCCAAGGTCCCTGACCCTTAGCAAAGCATTCTTACAACTCTCTAAGATTCATCTTTTTTTGAACTTATTTTCCAACCTGAATGTGAATGTGTAAAAGTCAGTATCAATAATCTGACAGTACAGTTGACCCATTACAAGAATTTTAACTTATCGGGCACAATTACCTGATTATTTCTTTCTATCCTTGGGTTCTGCATTCAACAACCCAACTAACCAGACATGTCTGTTGGTTGAATCCACTGATGTGGAACCCACAGAGATGAAGAGACCCATATAAATTACACGTGGATTTTTTTTCCCCAGTGGCAGGGATTAAAACCAAGAAGGCCCCACACACGCAAGGGATGTGATTTATCTACCACTGCCACATGGGATTACTGACAGGGGCCATTGTTCCTAGTCCCTCACCTGCTCAAGGGCAAACTGTAAATGAACAAGGACAAGGGTAGAAAAAAATCTTTTCTTGGTCTCAAAGGCCTGCAACGCCTGAACCTGTGCTGGGAAGGTACCCAGTGATGTGTGCCTCTGTAACAGTGTTAAAGGCAGGTCCCCCTGCTATGATTATTAATAAACACAAATATACACCTCAGAAGCTTTCTATTCCTCAGTTATCTTTCAGAATTTTCAACTAGATATGCTCTAAAATTTACAATGTAAAATTTAAATATTACATGTATGTATTTAAGGAAAATAACTGGAAATTTCATTCTAGAAATTATGTTATTAGTGGAAACTTTTCTCTTTAATACGTAAAACTAAGGCTGCACTTCCAACCTCACCTGACAAACCTAACTCCTAGCAGGCCCGCAGGGTTCCTACCTCAGCATGCACATGTCTTTCTAGAAGGTTGATTCTTTCTTTTGGATCATGCTGTTCCTTCCACTCCCGGTCCTGCTCCTCAGGTGACGGGTCGTGTTCTTCCTGAAGACGTTCAGCCCGCCCAACCTGCTCCATGGCCTCCTCTGCCAGGGCCTCCCTGTGTTCCTCTTCTACCTGCTGTTCCTCTGGTGCTCTGGCTTCTGCGTCGCCCTGCTTCAGCTCAGCTGGACCCTGAAATTCAGCTTCCTTCGATATGGGAGAAGGCTTTTCTTCTGCCCTTTCAGGAAGTGCTTCCTGCTTCTCCCACACTTCACTATTTCGAGGGGCCTAGGAGAAACACATCAACAGAAATGGCATGCTCCGATTTCCATAGTGATACAATTTCTTTATTACTATGTCTTTAGAGCAACAACACAAGTAAAATGCTCGAGTTCAAAAAATATATATAATCCTGGGGTGAATGCATCGGCAGCCTGATGGTGCTTCAGGCTTCCTGATACCCCAAAATTGCCGCTCTGGCTACTGCTGGATCCCAACAACTTGGGACCAAGTTTCGTGAGAAATTAAATGGCCAAAAGTTAGGTTTGTCGGAGCCACATCCACAAACCACCTCTGACTCAGCTATACAAGCTCATATACTGGCCTTGCTTTAGAGACTCGTAGATCAATCTTGAAAGAGATAAAATGTTGCAGTTAAAAAAAAAAGTTGCAGTTAAACTCGAACCCCTGCAAGGTTAAACAGAACAGAGTAAATTGGAGGGGGCAGATGAGCCCCTGGCAGCCACTTGCTCCCACAATCCAAAAGCACCACCATACCCCTGGCCGGACTCCACCATCTCAGAAGAGATATTAACCTGTTGAAAATCTGGAAATGCGGGCTTTGTGAGTGAAATCCCCAGGCATTCTCAGAATTGGGGTGGGCTACGTCCCCCACTTCCCTGTACTCCTGACAGTGCCAGCAGTCACCTCACGAACCAACCTCAGTGCCACCCTGTAAGTGCTTCCACTGATCTTGCTTCACAGACCCATAAATAAATGTTGAAAGAGATCAAAAGCTACGGGGAATCTCAGACCCATGCAAGACTCATGAGTAGACCCGGGTAAATTGAGGGGGACAGGTTAGCCTGGTGCCACCCAAGCAGAGTCCTCAGCAACTGCTTGCTCCCATACTCCAAAATTGCTGACATGCCCCAGCCAGACTCCACCATCCAGGACTAACCTCACCGAGATATAATCTGCTGAAAATTCGGGTATGTGGGTTTTGTGACTGAAATCTCCAGGCTTTCTCAGAGTAGGGGTAAGCTACCTCGCCCACCCCCCTGTATTTCCAGAAACCTTAGCAGTCATATCCATACACCAAAACTGACACCCAGTTAAAAAGCTACTCCAGCTTTACCTTCCTGAGAAAAATACTGAACGCCCTGAACTAACTGATGACTTGCAAACCTGCATTGCAAACCATAATCCCCAAAAGGAAAAAGGAGGGAGGGAGGGAGGGAGGGAAAGAAGGAGGGAGGGAGAGAGATAAGTGTCTGCCACAGAGGTAGGTTAGGGTGTTGGGGGATGGTGGGAGGGAAGTGGGGGACACTAGTGGTGGGAAATGTGCACTGATGGAGGAATGCCTGTATGCCTGAAACCCAATCACGAACAGCCTTGTAATGGTCTATCTCACAGATATTCAATTAAAAAATAATAATAAAAATAATATGAAGTTCACATTTGCTTCAGTCAGCTTAATCGGTGGCTGAATAGACAGCAGTACTCCTGCATTAAAAAAATATATATATATACTATATATTATATATGTATTATATATATATAACATAATTTTAGGGGCTGGAGTGATGGTATAGGGGGTAAGGGGTTTGCCTTGCATGTGGCCTACCTGGGTTTAATCCCTGGCATCCCATATGGTCCCCCGAGCACTGCAAGGAGTAAATCCTGAGTGCAGAGCCAGGAGTAATCCCTGTGCATCACTGGGTGTGACCCAAAAAGCAAAAAAAGCAGAAAAAAATATATATATAATTTTATAAATGATTTTAATATGACTGAAAAGTATGCCTGCAATGAAATCACTTAACTTTTCTCAGCATGTAATCTCACCTATTAAAGAGATAATAAAGCAAAATTTTATCCTGGAAAGAATAACAGAAAAATTAAGACTTAAAATGACATCTTAGTAGTCCCTTCCCTCGAAAGCATTGAAAGTCCTAGTTCGCTTAGCATAGAAAGGAAACAACGCTCAAATTTCATGTGATGAAATGTTTCTCAGAAAGTACCTGATACCCCGCGGTTGTCAGGCTGAGCACTCTTTTCCTCAGTTGGGGTGGGCAGCCCCGCACAATGCAGTACTTCTGGGGTCCCCAGCAGTCACACCCACATCTAATTAGCCCAGCTCTCTAGGTCCTGGAGCTCCCAGGCATGGGCCACCCCAAAATTCCTCAATACTGACAGACCCAGAGGAGCACACCAAAGTAGATGGAAAAATAACTAAGAAGTCAACTTAGCTCAGTAAACAAAAACAGTATCAGAGGGCTCAATTAGCAACAAGATACTTTAAGTAAAGTTTTTAAGTCAAGGACTTAATAACCTCATGGTATGATACAACAATTTCCAAAATTTTTCTTCTGGTGAAATATTTCTGATAATTCCATTAAGCATTTAGTTGTAAGACGCAATGTAAAACAAATGACTCCTTGCCTGCTAAGGTGGCACGCGTGAGGAGTGAGCGGTAAACTGGGAACAATGGTGGAGGGAAGGTCACCCTGGTGGTGGGATTGGTGTTGGAACACTGAATATCCATGACAAACTTTATTATAAACAACTTTGTACACCATGGTGTTTAAAGAAAAAAAAATCCTGAAAAAGGAGGATGAGTCGTTTTATTATTTTATTAATAACAAAAATAAAAATGGAACGCCATTCCTAATAAACATAAGCTAAACATAGAGCCCATTACATTGGATACCATCAAACATTTTTAAAACTCCAGGCCACCCATACTGGGCCAATTTCACCAGGGCTCCCCAGATGGAGCAGGTGCAGTCTCCCCGCCTACTCCAGATGGAATCCCGGTGACCAAGAGTTTCCCCAAGCAAGGCCCAGGTATGCGGGTTCAGGACCAAATCTCCAGGCCACATAGCAGCAGAGGAACCGGGCTGTCCCTCCTGGGTCCCCACCTGCCCAGTAAACTGGCTGTCACACCCACAATTTGCCTCCGGGTGCCATCTTAGCGCACCAACAGCCCTGGCCTAGAGACTCCCAATTGAATCCCAAAATGGATTAGTGCCATACAGAGATGTCTCTGGAACCCAATAATTTGCAATCTAGAAATTTACATTTGCAATCGTGGCAATGTGAGCTCTCATGATAATTCAAAATGAGCAATGGGAAATAAATTATCTACTGTCTTCCCCTGGCAGGTAGGCTTGAATGTTGGTGGGAAATTTCGAGCAAAACATAATGCCCCAAATTATAGAGAATATTGGGAAAATTGTCTGCCATAGAGGCAGAGTGAGGACTGGGATGTGGGTGGTAGAAAATGTGCACTGGTGGAGGGCTGGGTGTTCCATCATTGTATGGCTGAACCTCAAACAGGAAAGCTTTGTAACTGTATCTCACGGTGATACAATTAAAAAAAAAAGTAATGTGGAGTTCATGCCCAATTCAATCAGCTTAATCAAATGGCTGAACAAAAAGAAGTACTCCTACATTATTAAAAAAATAAATAAAGAGTCACTGTCACTGTCCTCCCGTTGTTCATCGATTTGCTCGAGCGGGCCCAATAATGTCTCCATCGTGAGACTTGTTGTTACTGTGTTTGGCATATCGAATACGTCACGGGGAGCTTGCCAGGCTCTGCCGTGCGGGCGAGAGACTCTCGGTAGCTTGCCGGGTTCTCTGAGAGGGGCGGAGGAATCGAACTCGGGTCGGCCATGTTGTCTGTGTGCAAGGCAAACGCCCTACCGCTGTGCTATTGCTCCAGCCCGAAAATAAATAAATAAATAAATTTTTTTTTATTGCTGGAGTAATAGCACAGCAGGTAGGGCGTTTGCCTTGCATGCAACCGACCAGGGTTCGATTCCCAGCATCCCATATGGTCCCCTGAGCACTGCCAGGACTAACTCCTGAGTGCAGAGCCAGGAGAAACCCCTGTGCATCGCCAGGTGTGACCCAAAAATTAAAAAAAAATAAAAATAAATAAAAGTACGGGCCACTGTTTGTGAATTTTGGCCTGGCAACCTGACCTAAGGGCTGATATTGGGAGGAAAAGCACCAGGTGTTGGGCATTACACTCAGTGCCTCCCACATGACAAACGTGCACGCTGCCACCTGAGCCCCATCTTAAGCCAAATCAAGCATCTTAGTTAATAAAGTAGTATTTCTTAACAAACCAAAGTAAGTCTTTTGCAATTGATATGTATCACTAATATAAAAAGTCTAAGTGGACGAAAAGAAGTTTTATTTATTTTGGGGGTGACATCTGTGGTGGTTAGGGACTACTTCTGGCTCTGTTCTCAGGGGACCATACGCAGCGTCAAGGACTGACCTGTAAGCACCTCCACCTCACAGTATCTTACCTTACTCAAAATATGTATTTTGAAAAGAGAACTTTTCTGAAACTGACTGAAGTCAATGATCAAATTAAGACCCAACCAATGCCCAGACGGCTGCAGTGCAGCACTGGCTCGCCTCCCAGCTGCCAGAACCCCGAGGACGCCCTAGGAGGAGGCTCTTGGCAACCAGCAGATGAGCCCGGCCTCGGGCCGCCTCCTTCAGAGTCCTCCCAACCATTAGGACTGATAAGCCTGAGAGCAGGAAACAAAAGAGAAAGTCCTTTATCCATATGGAGATTTGTCACTCCTCTCCTCTTGGAAAGGCTCTCTCTTAGAAAAAGCATCAGACTGCACTCCCATAACTGGAATTAATATGAAACAATCATGAAATTAGCAGACATATAACTGTGTAACTGGATCATATAAATAAACCACAGAAAATTCTTCCTCTGAGAATATCAGAGGACAGCTTTTGTAGCTAGCAATCCACTTAAAAAATGTTACGGCATGCCTGGCACATTTGACAAACTATTGACCTGGCTTCGAATGAAATATTTCTCTAGAAAACCCTAAGTCTTTTCAAACACCTGCCATTTATCTTGACAACATCTCATGTTTTCCCTGTCAGAAAGTTTAGAGCAGTTATCTGCTACCTCTGCCTCACGGATGGAAAATCTGATGCTCTGAATCATCCAAAGATTAAACCCGAAAACCAGCAGCAAGCCAGGAAAGAGAACAGTGTCAGTTCCCAGGGCAGAGACCTGGTTGTATTTTCCTACGTCAACGGTAGCATGAGACTGAGTCAAAAACACCGTGTTTGTGAGGGAACACTGTGGATAGATCCAAGTTCCACTTATTTCAACTTGATCATTCCCATAAAATAGGAATTTAGCTTATCACTGTTGCCAAACAATTCTGTCAGGAAGAAAGATGATTTGCGACTTTTATTACATATGCGACTACAAAAACAACCTAGTAAAACCTAATGATAATGATTAAACCACTTCTATATTCCACTAATGAGTTTCTCTTAAGCTTAAATTTTAATGAAAACAAAACAAAACAAAAAAACCCGGATTACGTGACTGGAATTCTTCACAGGCTTATACAGTCTTTTTAATTAAAATTTTGATGTACTATATAAACCTGGCATTGTACCAAATTCTTATTATCAGCTGTAACACTTGAGTGGGCTGATGCTTACATATCCTCATGAATCATCTAACTTTCTCACCCAAGAGGGGGGAAAAAAAACCACCCTAAAATTTTCAGATGAATAGTTTCATATAGACTGGACAACTCCTTCAAATAAATCAGGCCTACGTGAATAACGACAAAGCCAGTAAGTTCTTTGTCAGAGAAAAGCAGTTTTCAGTAGTTTTCAACTGTGCTCCCCAAACCAGCCCAATCAGCTGGCAATGAAGATCCTCGGGCCCTACTCCCCCCCCCACCAAATTCCCAAAGGAAACACTGGGTTGGGATCCAGTAATTTGTACTGACTGCCTCTGGGGACACTGTGACATATGCTAAAATTTGGAAACCAACGTTCTGCAGTGAGAGGCGAAAGAAGGCTACCTGGTAGCCACCTGCCAGGGACAGCGGCCCGAGACAGGCCGTGGGCATGCACGTACCTCCTGGAGCTGTCCAGCCACCACCTCTCTCGCTGCACCAGCACCGTGTGGAGAATGTCCCACCTGGGTAGCATTCTGCTGCTCTGCTTGATCTGTTTTTCGAAAGCTGGGGATCCGATTCAGAGTATCTTTCAGCTGTTTATATTCTGCAACCTGAGTCTGCACATAAATTGCACAATTGGATGCAAATTGCACAATTTGAAAGGGGAAGAAGATTTTAATTCATAGGTGAGCAGTAGGGTTCACTATAGACTAAAGTATTGCACCTAGAGGAAATTAGGAAAAATATGCAGATTATTTCATGCAGTAGCTTTTTTACTTGGACATGCTTAACCACTTTTTAAGCACATGCAAATTGGAATTAAAGTTAAAGGGAAAAGAGAAAAATTACCCAAGACAGATGTTAGTCTCCACCAATAAAGTCAAATGTTTTTACAAATAGCTTCTAGTAAACTATTAAAAAACAACATTAAATTCAGCTTTATCACACTGACAGTCTATTTTGAATTTATACAATTATAGAAGTAAAGATATTTGTTACTAATATATTTCAGTGACAAGGTGTCATATATTAAAAATAAGTAACAATGTTTTATATATACACAAGATATGTGTATATGTTAATATATAAATAAAATGAATAAAAATTCTGTGTGCATATATACAAAAATACTGTGTGCATCCATGTATATAAGTGTGTGTATGTGTGTGTGTGTATACACACACACACACACACACACACACACAGTCAGACTACCATCTTCTCCCATTGAGCTACACTCCGATAGTATCCCTTTCTTACTAGTGGGCTCTCCACACAGTGTTTCAGTTTGAAAAAGCAAAATCAAAATTAAAAAAATAAGGCTGGATTTTTACTCTTTAATTCTCAATGCTGTTTCCTTCTAAAGTGATAAAGGCACTGCATACACACAGGATTAGAATACACTTCTATCAATGGAGTATATAATTCTGGGGGAGAAGGGGAATACCTGGCACTGTTCAGAAATCAGGGGTCACTCACAGCAGAGCACAGGGAACCATATTTGATCTCCATTTGATGGGGATCAACCTGGGTCAAATGCATGCAAGGCAAGTGCCCTAACTTGTATATCTATGTATGTCTGGCCTCAATTTTTAATTCTGTAACCTAGAAAGGGGGGTAAAAAATGAAATCCATTTAACTAAGAAATTCCATAGTTGTTCCACAGCAGAAATGCAATACTGTATGTGCAAAGAAATCTTTCCTGAACAAGTTTCCCAAAAACCACTGAGTGTGCAATGACAGACCCATATTGCTAACAGTGGCTCTTTGATTAAAACCAAAAACAAAAAACAAAGAAAAAAAACCCACATCCATACAGCGACACTTCTAATATTTTAAGGTAAATATGGAAGATACTCAAATCTCAATTCTAGACTATCTGTTTTCTCCTCCACATAAACATTATATTTCTCAAATATTAACATACATTCAGTCATATAAAAGTCATAATAAAAATGTAAAATCTTGCCTCTAGAAATCATGATTGAATTAAGTCTGGGGCAAGGCATCTTTGATGCAGGGTAGACTCAAAAACAGCATGCCTTTAAAATTAGGAGGATCAAAGTTTCAAGTTTGATTCTGGTAACTGATGTGAGCTAACTACTTTATTTCCTTTTGACCTCAGTTGATTTGAGGTTAAAGGGCACAATATTCTTTAACTCACTCAGCTGTGAACATTAGTCTCTACATGAAGTTCACATGATAACCCCTGACAAATTATAAACTCTCGAATTCTATTGTGTTCTCGTTTTTGCTCCTCTCAACTCCATTTAAAAATTATGTTATCAAGCCAGAATCTCTTAAATAGAAATGCAGATGCCTGAAAGAGCATTTGTTTTTAAGGAAAATCAGGAAAAGTTAATTGGACAGTTTTAACTAAGGACAGTACCTACTTATGACATATCAAAAGGACAAAAAATAAAAATGCAAAAGACAAAGATGTGTATAAAAATATTTTAAAAATTATATTAGGTTATTTTTTAAAATATGTTAAAAATTATAACGTATTTAAATACATAGGTTAAATCTTTTTTATTCCAAACTCTGTCAGCGATATGTTCCAAGTGCTTACTACAGAATTTGAGTTTGGTCAGTCATTAAATTAGCTGTTTTACTTCTGGAATTTTGAATCACTGTTTAGATTAATATTATGGCCATTACTTTGAGTATTCAAAGAAGTCTGATTATTCTGATACTAAACCCTTATATAAAATATTTGATAATAATTTTATAAAGAATGAAATAATCTCTAAATTCATCCATATGTTAAAAGTAATCATTTAGCAGACAATCTCAACTGAAGACCACTTGAAAGGAATCCCATAGGCTCCAGTAAACTGTATTTTTAATAATTTTATAAAGACAAAAATCAATTAGGGTCTCCAGATTAAATAGAGTTGATTTTCCTTTGTCCATTCTTAATTCTTGAAGTTAAACAAAAAATTGAGTAGAAAGATACAGCGAATCAAACCTGGGTTGGCCGCGTGCAAGGCAAACGCCCTACTCGCTGTGCTATTGCTCCAGCCCCTTAGAATGCTTTCTAACACTCATATTTGTTTGATTACTCATTCAGTGATTATCTACAAAGAGCCTGTCATATGCCAAGCTTTACACAAACCAAGCTTAATACTCCTTTTTTCCCTTCCATACTAACACGAAATTTCATCTTACTTTTTGTTATTTGACCATAAAGCAACAGACACAGTATTTGTAGACTAGAATGCTAGCAGGAGGGAGAGAGGGAGGAAAATCTGACAATTTATTTAGAATTTCACATCAGATTCTATGCCAACTGACAACACTGGTCAGAAAGTCTGACAGCAAACAACCTCATATATGGTGTAATTTCAGTGTTAACTCTTGCATGTTGACAGTCCTGTGTACCACATTCCCAAAGCAAAAAATAGTCAGGGGTTTATTTCATATTCTCTGGACTGAATTCTTAAAAGCATGCATGGTCCTTGGAATAACGAGTGTTCGATCCTAAGGAACCCACTAAAGATTGGCTCATAGGAGACTGCATGCACAAGGAATCCAGAAAGGTTAAGCAGACTTTTAGAAAGAACCGACAGAAGCTGCAACCCTTCTAACCTGCGCAGCAGCTAGCGCACTCTTGTGGTCTTCCAAAGTCACTACAAGTTGTTCATGCTCGGAGAGTAAATTCTTATGCTGTTGCTACACAAAAAAGAATTTCACATGTTGAGTTTTAATATTCTAACACAAATTCTTCTTTGGATGCAAGAAGCAGTCTGACCACTCAAATACTTTTGCTTGTTGTTTCAGCACCTGTTATTCTTAGCCATTTGTTAAATCATGGCAAAAAGATGAATGTGTTACAAAAACACCGTCAAACAACAAACAACAAACAGTGAACTCCCGTTGTTCATCGATTTGCTCGAGCGGGCCCAGTAACGTCTCCATTTTGAGACTTGTTGTTACTGTGTTTGGCACATCGAATACGTGACAGGTAGGTAGCTTGCCAGGCTTTGCCATGTGGGCAAGATACTCTCGGTAGCTTGCGGGCTCTCCGAGACGGGCAGAGGAATCGAACCTGGCTCGGTCGGGCAGGCTGCACGCAAGGCAAACGCCCTACCGCTGTGCTATAAAAACACCATCACGTAACAAAATCAAATTAAAAATGTCATTAATAATAAGACTTTGTACCTAAAAAATTTAAAAAAAGTTATTCAAATGGGGCCATACAGCAAAGAATCACTTAAATACTAATAAAACTATTTGGATTTTTTTTCTAGTCATCTTTAGACTTAAAACGCAGATGTGGCAGGTCCAGTTTATGCAGAGTCCAAAGTATTGTAGGTTTGTATAACAGGGTAATTAGGAGACAAATTTAACTTTTCTAATCTTATTTTCAAAAGACAAAATCACCAGCAATCAATTTTTTAAGTCATTGTACAAGTGGAGAGGCAAACTCTCAGACAGTCAAATGCTTGTTTTGATTTTACCTTGACATCCTGCAGCTGCACGTGTATGTCCTGGTGGGCTTTCCTTAACTGTCTGTTCTCCTCTCTCAAGTTGTACACGGTTTCTATTTTAAAAATAAAAATTATCACACATAAAACTGCAAGATACTCGAGGATCTTGAATTCGTTACCTTCACATCAAAAGCTTCACATGCTTTGTATCTATATTGGTTTTGAACTCTGACAGTACCAAAACAAGAACTATGAAAAAAACAAAACCACGAGGGAAAAAAAAAAGTTACATTTGGGGAGGTGGCATGGATTTAGCTAACCATCACATTACTGTCAGATTCAGCAGTCTAAATGCTCCTTAAAAAGTTGCACACTGTAGACAAAGAACTTTTAATTACTTTGGAATTAAATATATATTGGTGAATAAAGCAAAACCAGTGAAATTGCTTCAAGGGGTAAAGCAAGAGCATGGCATGTGCAAAGCCCTGAGTTCAATTGCTCGGAACTTTTTCAGGTATGTTCCTGGTACCTCACTGGGCCTGAGTTCTAAATCATTAATCCCCCGATTCCTGAATATCACGGGGCAAGCCCCCGGGACTCTCAAGCACTGTGAGGGAGATCCCAATGAAGGAAGAGAAATTATACAAAAACATTAGAGGTCAGAGCAACAGTAAAGCACACAGGGCACTGGCCTTGAACATGGCTGACACAGCTGATCCCTGGCACCTCACATCATCCTCCAAGCCCCACCAGGAGTGATCTCTGAGCACAGAGCTAGTTAGACTAAGCCCTTAGTACCACTGGGTATGGCCCCAAACCAAAAATACACAAAAAAATATAAATAAGGACTAAAACAGCAGGGACTATCTAAATTTGAGTCTTTTTACAAATTAAAAACAAAGTTATAGCTCATGGTGTCTCACTAATAAAAATAAAAAGAAGAAAGTTATCAGGGCTGGAAAGCTAGCCCAGTGATTTAACCCTCAATATCACGGCTTCTAAGCATTGCTTCTTTGCAAAGCTGGACGGTACAGGACACTTCACGGGGTGGCCCTGGGCAGCTCAGGGTCCTTGAAAAACTGTATCCTCAGGTTCTCTCACTGAATTGACAGCTCAGCTGTATCAGGACAAGTGACCCCCAGACTCCCTGGATACTTCCTGGGTGGCCCCCAAAACAACAACAAAGTTGTTGAAAAAGTGCATGCAGACCCACTTTTCTTCACTGCATAAATAATCTTCAGTGTCCCCAAAATGTGTTTCAATTACAATGGCGACTTAAGAAATTTAAGAAAAGTAATCCCACTTTTATTAAAAATATTCTAAATATATTTTCTTTCTCCTACTATGGAGCTTTTGAAGATTCAAGTTCCATCTCCAACAGCTACGGGGCAGTTCTTTCAAGGGCAATAGCAAGAGATTGTAGCAGAGCTGAGTCCTAAAATACTAAGCTCTGTTACATTTTACCAGAATGAGGGACAATGAGCTTAATGGCTCTCTTGCCTCTATGATGTTTATCTTGAGCAAGTTACATAAGACTCTTAAATTGTTTAGTGATTTCTTAAATGGTTAGATTAAGCTAATCACAATGTCTACCTTATAGGTTGTAATGAGATTTAAGATACTGCAAGAGCTTCACCTGCTACTGGTACATAGTGAGCTTTTGTTGAACATCAGTTATCATGACAATGAAGATAGAAAAAGTGATTCTCTTAAGTTCATGTGCTATCAGCTCATCTGAATTCTTTTTTTCTTTTCATCTAAATTATTCTATCACTATCACTATCCTCCCGTTGTTCATCGATTTGCTCGAGCGGTCTCAGTAACATTGCGAGGCTTGTCATTGTGTTTGGCATATCGAATACATCACGAGGAGCTTGCCAGGCTTTGCTGTGCAGGCGAGATACTCTCGGTAGCTTGCCGGGCTCTCCGAGAGGGGCGGAGGAATTGAACTCGGGTCAGCCATGTTGGCTGCATGCAAGGCAAACGCCCTACCCACTGTGCTATCGCTCCAGCCCATCTAAATTATTAACTCATATTATATTAAACTAGCGAAAATCTTGGACCTTTTTAGTTTGCTAATTACTGACCTGCAACCTACATAATTCACTTTCACTTACTATGTTAAGTATCTTTCAAGAATAGTATTAACATCTGTCAATGAAAAATTAATTGGCAGTGTCATAAAAAGCACTGTTACACTGCATTTTCCAGCTTTCTTGAGGTATTTCTTCTAAAAATTAATAACAGAAATGTTAATTTTGCACATAAGGCCTGCCCCCTGTTTTTTATTCCCTGCCGCCTTTTCACTGCATTTCCTCCCCTTGATTCTTTCCCCTCTGGGCCCCACGACAATAAGGTATGCTTGTGTATTCTCTTTCTGATGACAAATGCCCTACACCTTTATTCCAAAGTGCCAGGAAGCTGTGATCAGGGTACGAAGTTTGAACTTCTTTGCTACACAGACCTAACAGCTGGTGTTCTATTTTCCATTTCTTTAGTTCTTCCTTCTGTACCTAGCGTATTAAAATTTAACTCTAGAGACACTTTGCTTTGAACAAAAGGCGGCAAATACCTGTATGCTATTTAAAAAAAAAAAAACCTGCCTTCCAGGACTACTTGCTAAACTGCATGAATTAAATTATGCAATTTTCTTTTTTTTTGGGGGGGGGGTAACACCTGGCTATGCACAGAGGTTACTCCTGGCTCTGCACTCAGGAATTACTCCTGGCAGTGCTCAGGGGACCATATGGGACGCTGGGAATTGAACCCGAGCTGGCTGTGTGCAAGGCAAATGCCCCACCCACTGTGTTATCGCTCCAGCCGCTATGCTCATTTTTAAGCAAACACTGATGAGCACAAGACTGGTATCTAGAATATTCTAATTCATATGTGCCTTTTTAATTGATTTTTTTTGTTGTTTTTTTGTTTTTTGGCTTCTATTGGAGCTTGAGTATCAGATGGAGTGTTGGGGATCAAAACGGGTCTGCAGCCTATGGACCGAACATGACTGCCACTCAATGCCTCTTTTGCAGACCACAACACCCAAAAGGAGAGAGAGAACAAAAGGGATCACCCTGCCACAGAGGGAGGGTGGGATGGAGGGATGACAGGGGTAGGAGGGATACTGGGATTAGTGGTGGTGGAGAATGGGCACTGGTGGCGGGATGGGTACTCAATCATTGTACAACGGAAACCCAAGCACAAAAATTTGTAAGTCTACAACTGTACCTCATGGTGTTTCACTAATAAAAATTTTTTTTTAAAAAAAAGGGGGTCTGCAGCATGTAAGGGCTGAACCTTACCCGCTTACTAGTTCCCTGGACTCTCAACAGAACATCCTAGACTACAGCCCTTTCTCTGATTTCATCACTGATCTGCAAACACCAAGTGCCCTTTAAGCCAATTCCTACACCTTAGACATAATAGGTGATTACAGAATGCCCTAAATATCTCTTCTAGCACTAAGAAATAAAAAATTTGTTTCCACATTACTTTGAAAATACTTGATGCTGATGCAAACGGCAGTTAATGTTTTATTGAAGATGTACCATGTACCACTAACTCTTCCAGGTTTATCTATTTCACTCCTACACCAACTCCATGAGATTGATTCTTCTTATGATCATTTCAATTTTAAAGACAGACAATAAAACAAGTGCTGCTTATACAATTTTTCCAGGGTCATACAACTAGTACTCAAAGAAGCCAAGATTTACTAGGGCAGTCTGACTGTGATGGTTTATTAAACTAATGGTAGTGACTAACAGGGCATTTTTCTACACCCAAAGGACAGTTTTAGCAATACACTGGGAAATTTTTAATCACTGCAATGACTGAGAAGCATCGCTATTTTGTGGGTAAAGGTCAGAGATACTAAAGGTCTCAAAACACACAACAGAGTATGTGCAACACTGCCCATCACAGCCAACACATTCTGCTAAGTGACATTATGCATTCTATCCTGCTTCCTTGAGATCAAAAGAGATGAAAAAGCACTACAGAGAAATAAATAGTTCACAAAAGACACAACAAAGTTGTGTCTGAGTTTTTCTGAGTACTCATTTCCATATAAACTGGCTAACTGGACTTCCAAATACCTTTTAACTTTGAAAGCTCTTGCTCCTTCTCTTGCTGCAGCTGCAGGTATTTCTGTTTGTGGTCGTTGAATGTCCTGCTGAAGTCTTCTCCTTGTTTCCGATGTTCCTCCTCCAGGTCGCTGTGCTGCTTCTTCAGCTCCTCGTGCTGACTCTGCAAGGACAAACACCCGAGTGGAGAGGACAGCGCCAGATCCTGTCACGGCCTGTTCTCCACAGCACAGCCTCTCGCGCGCCAGGAAGAAGACACAAGTGCAGGAAAAGGCTGTTTGCCTCAGGATGCAGTCCCTCTGTTTCCTTGAAATTTCATTCAAACGATTTGAGATCATGGTCAAAAGTCAAGTTTCCCTTAGTTTTAAATATCAGTCTGAAAAAAAGTAGTTAGCAAGAGAGGTAAAAAGGGATGGATTCAGGGGAAATGCTTAGGGACTGGTACTAATATGAAAACAAGGGAAAGCAAGTGGGAAAAAATACGCCTTCTCAGATACTATACACTTCTTCTTTTGGCCTGATAGTTTCCCACAATTCTGACTTCCGTTCTTTCATTTTGGGCATTCTTAGAAACTCAGTTTAAAGACTAAAGAGGGATCAGGGAGATAGTTCAGAAGTCAGGGGTGCACGGGTCATAACCAAGTTCAAACACCAGCACTGCCTGGTTCCACAAACACTGGTGTGGCCCTTGAGAATCCTGAGCACTGTCCAGTGTGCCCCTGGCGTCCCTGCCTGCAACACCAGGACAGGACCACAGCCTGGGACTTGGAATTGAACGACCTGGTTCAGTCAGGTATTGCCTGAGGTAGTACCCAGACCCCTGAGTCTGGGCTTGAAAAGCCAAAAATGGAAGTAAAATGAAATGGGACAAATGAAGAAGAAACAAAGAAAAGCATCTTTCAGGGGGAAATTAAGCTCACTGACCGTTTAAACAGTAACCACATCTCAGGCCTGCTTAATTCCATGACCATTAACACATGATATTAATACCTGAGAATACTAGGCTGTACTCTCAGTCTAGATAAATTCCTTTGTCTCCAAGTTCCTCATGTGAAAGGATAATCTTTTCTAATTCATGTATTGTTCCCTTGATTAAGGGAAAGGACCTGATTTAATGTACAAGCCCTGCTGATATGGAAGAAATGACACCATCAAAACAAGAGAAAAAAAATCTGTGGGTAGGAAGTAGGATGATACAGTTTTCCACTTGTACAGGATGGCGAGACAGAACAAACATTCAACTCCGAGTTTCATAAAAATTCCCCTTCCTCTTTCTTATCCATTTCTCTCCTGCAGCACGGTTAAGCACCATTTACCCAAAAGCCCAATTCATGGGTTCTGTTTTGCCTGTTCTCCATTTTTGAAGGCTTGTGGGTGACACTGGCAGTCCTAACTCCATACAGAGTCACTCCTGAAGGTGCTAGGGAACTGAACTGGCATTAGATTCATGCAAAGAGAGTACCTTAACCCTTGGACTATCTCTCCAGCTCCCAATTTATATTCTTCGCATGGAAGTTGTGCTCCTGAGGTACGTAAGAGGCTACACTAATTTTTAGTAACCCAAAGGAAGAAATTTAGTAGTTATACTACTCTCAGTGAGTCTAAGAAAAAAAAAAACTCAAATAACCTATTATGAAACAAAGAACTTTAAAGGATAAAGAATAAAAGTAAAAATTAGGTGGACAGTTTTGCTCTTTAAGCCCATGTTGTCCCTTGAACACGTATCTCGCTTGATTGTCTCCAAGCTTCTTTGCTTATTTCCATTCTGGAGATGCCTGTGTTCTCTCTCAAACAGGTATTTCTCTCTTTCTCTCCCTTCACATCTAACTCGATTAGTTCAGATAAAAACTGTAATTCATCAAAACAAAAATAGGAAGCCAAGAGAATATGATCTATAAGAAAATGTAGTAAGCCAAACACATTATTTGTAATAAACATGATGGGAAATTAGTTATACATCATTTTAGCCAAAGATGACTTTGATGTCTGTTACAGTACAAATCAACTGTTATAATTTTTTCTTAATTATTTAGTCAATCCTTTTTTCTATATATTAAGAATATTAAGTTACTCACCTTTAACATCTGATGTTGGACATTCAATGCACTGTATCTACTATTGGAATCTTGCTGTAAGTAGAAAAGAAAATAACACAAAAAAAGAGTTTCACTTTGTTTCACTTGTATAAGTTTTAAGTTCTACAAGTGATGAGGATGTCTCTGGGAACATCGTTCTATTTATTGCAGGATGAAAGTTTTAACTTCTCCGTTAGTCTGATAGATTTTAGTAATGAAAAAGGGCACAATCATAAAAGAAAAATTAGACAGATCCTTTGGCGATGACTTGCCTCCTCTCTCATACTCAGAGAGGGCGAAAGTTGAAACACATGAAGGAACTTACTCTGGAGACACAATGATGGTATGTGTCTAATCCTTGTGCCTGGTATTCCAAAAGTAGGGTGACCTATCCATCAGCATCAGACTACAGTGCTCTACTTTTCCCAGGCTTAGTAAAGAAGAAACTACATATATTAGCCCAGGAGACTCCATTTCACAGACTCCAAGACAGAAAAATAAGACAGAGGTAAAGAACAAACCCTGGCCTTATAGTCAAGCTAGTACTCAGACAAGTCTGGGTCTACGGCCTAAACTCCAAGTACCAGAGCACCTGGCTGCTGCTAGAACATGTTCACAAATGGGCCTCACACCTTTCCACATTGCCGGGACAACCGGAATTAATCAGTGTACAAGACCCTTAAATGCTTTCTCCCCCAGTGTGTGTTATTCTGTTTTATGCTCCACACTTCTTTCTCTATAACATACACTTGTTTTAGAACTACATTTTGGTGCTTTACTATTTTATTTTAACCTACTTTAAAATTACATTATAAAATGTACCACGACATTCATGGCTTTCTTTATAATTTTAGTATGTGTTTGTGTGTCTGTGTCTGTGTGTGTGTGGTGTGTGTGTGTGCTAGGCACTGAATCCAAGGCCTTACAAATTAAAGTGGATACACAAAGAGAGTCATGTAGGAATCGACTATATTTGCTTTCTCTTCTAGTGCTGTTTTGGGGTCACACCTGGTGGTGCTCAGGTGCACCTTCCGTCTCACTGCCCAGGGGACCATGTGCTGTCAAATTTTGGCCTCTAGCATGCGAAGTCTGTGCTCTAGCCACTTGAGCTCATTCTTCAACCCCCGCCAGCCAGGGACTTTAAAACTAAGCAGAGTTGAATATGGCCAGTCTCCTAAAAAGCCAAGAAACTGCATCTTCTAGTGTGAATATCCTAAATACCCATCTATGTTTTATTCAACTATGTTCATAAATACATAAAGAGAAAAATGTGTTTTAATTCAGTTAATCAGAACATTTAAAAAAATGTAAAGGTCAGTATCATTCATTACACAAATGTTTTTGAATACCAATTCTAGGCCAGCAGTCTGTTAAATGCAATACAAACAACAATGAAGTTCTACAAAGACATAAATAAACAAAATTAGTCTCTTTGTGACTGACAGTATGACTCTGAAACTTATTGCTATCATCAATTACAAGAAGGAAAGGTAGGTTTTGAAAGAACAGTCGTTCCCCTCCACTCCTCCCCAAATCTCCCGTCTGACTTTTCTTAGGGAGGAGGAAGAGGTGGAAGTAAAAGTGGAGGAAGATCTCAACCTTCCAATCTTAATTAATTTTAAAACTTTGCAACTAATTTTCCCTCATCTCCAAGTTTCACGAAAACAAAAAGGAAAACAAAAACTTACCCTTCCCTTATTTAGGGTCTCTTGTGCTTCTAACTTATAAACAAGAAAATCTAGGAAACAAAAATTTGGGAAAGATAAATAAGAGATTGGTTCATAATTCTTTTTATGTATCTTAAACATATGAAAGAAAAGTTTATTCAGACTGCTAAAGTGTTCTAGGGTTTTGAAACAATCTATTTGGTGATGTACTTTTATCTTGCTTCTTGATGCTTTCTAAAATGTATATATCATATAAACTTCTTTACCTTAAAATATGTAACTCGTACCAATGAAATTCAAGTTATAACAAACTGACTAAAAGTACTATTAGAAGTGCACTCCGTGATTAATTCTCCCTGGAAAAAAACACAGCTAAAAACAGAAATGATTTATTGCTGTCCACGAGGTGGCACGCTAAAATCATCCAGTACCCGAAAGAAGCTTTAATCTTCTTAAGCTTTATTACCACTAGATGGCTCTATGAAATCATTCTGCATGCAAAGACAAGAAACATCCAAATTCTATCAAATCATTTTAATGACACTGAACTTCTACTCTCAACAGAGTAGACTCAATGCCAGCTCTGTAAAACACCCTAACCAACACTGTTCTTCGCTGTTCTCCACTTCCTTCTACCAGACACAACAAAATCTCATGATTATTACAAAACAATTCGATCATGAAAGCTTTTTGACTGTTATCTCACAGTGATTCAATAAAAAATAAATTTAAAAAATATTACCACAAAACACTGGTTAAAAAATACACATGCCGGGGGTATGGTGCCGCCAGCAGGTCAATCTGTACCTGTGAGGCGAGTGCATCTCCATTGGAGACTTTGTTATTACTGTGTTTGGCATATCGAATACTTTCGGTAGCTTGCCGGGCTCTCTGAGAGGGGCAGAGGAATCGAACTCGAGTTGGCCATGTTGGCTGCTTGTAAGGCGAACGCCCTACCGCTGTGCTATCGCTCCAGCAATAGAACACAAATTGTCTATTGTTGCCTTTTCAGCAGACCTGAGTGTTGGGGTAAAACCTCAAATAATAATGGTGGGTCTGGTGTCGAAATATTGAATGTGATCAAAGTAGAGAGAGAGTAATGTGGAAATCATCTGCCCCACAGGTGGAAGGTGTGGGATGAGGGTATACTAGGGTTTTTGGTGGTGGAGAATGGGCACTGGTGAAGGTATGGGTGTTTCATTGTATGACTGAGACTTAGACCCAAAAGCTTTGTAACTGCTCTCACGGTGATTCAATAAATAAAATTATAAAAATGAAAAAAATACACATGCAAATAACTTTTAAAAAACAATACAACTAATTTCAAAAGCAAACCACTTACCTTATCAGCCTATGCATTAAGGAAAAATTCGATAAAATCAGTAACATTGCTTATTATCTGTGGTAACTATTAATTTTCCAAACTGAATCAATTAAAACTTGAAAAAGCACAGGTGTATATATGTATAAAATGTCATTTTCAAAACAATGGTGCCTGCCTGCTTCCTGGATACCTGTGAGTGGACATCTCAGATATTATTAAATTATGTGTGTAATATTCAGATAAAAATGTTTTCAGATAATATTCCTGAAACAATACACATAAACTAACATGCAAATTACAAAAACAGCATATTTCTTGCTTTTCCTTCCTCTGCTTACTGATACTGACTTGGGGTAGACTCTAAAAATTCCTGGTAAAACAGTAAAGCAAGTAAGTGAAGCTTCAAAAAGAAGTGTTATTTAAAAAAACAGAACAAGAACCATATTATTTACCTTCCTTTGCTTTCTTATGTTCAAGTCTTTCCTTTTGCAAGGATTTCTCTAATCTTGATCTGTGTTCATATACAACTGAAAAAGAGAAAAGATAAAATTTGTATTTAATATATATATGTATTTAATTTTTATTAGTGAAACACCATGAGGTATAGTCGGAGACTTACAAACTTTCATGCCTGGGTTTCAGTTATATAGTGATCGAGTACCCATCCCTCCACCAGTGCCCACTCTCCACCACCAATGATCCTGGTAGCCCACCCTCCCGCTGCACTTCCTTTGTGGCAGGGCATTCCCATTTGCTCTCTTTCCTTTACGGTGTTGTGGTTGCAACAGAGGTATTGAGTGGCCATCGTGTTCGGTCCACAGTCTACTCTCAACACGCATCTCCTATCCCTAGCGAATCCTCCAAACATCCTTTACTCGGTGTTCTCTTCTCTATCTGAGCTGCCTTTTCCCCCATGTGCTGCCAGTTTCCAAGCCATGGAGGAGACCTCCTGGTACTTATCTCAACTATTTTTGGGTGTTCTTCTCCCATTCTGTTACCTTATATTCCCCAGATGAGTGCAGTCTTTCTATGCCTGTCCCTCTCTTTCTGACTTATCTCATTTAGCGTATTTTCCATGTAGAACCACTTGTATGCAAATTTCATGACTTCATCTTTTCCTTTTTTTTTTTTGTTGATTTCAATTTTTTTTTAACTTTTATTAGTGAAACACCATGAGGTACAGCTGTAGACTTACAAATTTTTGTGCTTGGGTTTCAGTTATTTAATGATCAAGTACCCATCCCTCCACCAGTGCCCATTTTCCACCACCACGGGTCCCAGTATCCCTCCCACCCCCCATCCCACCCTGCCTCTGTGCCAGGGCATTCCCTTTTGTTCTCTCTCTCCCCTTTGGGTCCTGTGGTTTGCAAGAGAGGCATTGAGTGGCAATCATGTTTGGTCTATTGTCTACTTTCAGCATGTCTCTCCCATCCTGGGAGGACCCTCCCAACACCCTTTATTTGATGCTCCCTTCTCTATCTGAGCTCCCTTTTCCCGTAGCATGTGTGGCTGGCCTCCAAGCCATGGAGCAAAATTCCTGGTACTAATCTCGACCACTCTTGGGTGTTAGTCTCCTATTTTGTTACTTTATGTTCCCCAGGTGAATCCAATCTTTCTATGTCTATCCCTCTCTTTCTGACTCATTTCGCTTAACATGATACTTTCCACATAGTACCACTTGTATGTAAATTTCATGACTTCATCTTTTCTAACAGCTACCTAGTACTCCATTGTGTAAATGTACCAAAGTTTCTTTAACCAGTCATCTGTTCTCAGGCACTCAGGTTGTTTTCAGATTTTGGCTTTTATGAACATTGCAGCAATGAACATAGACGTGCAGATGTCACTTCTACTATACTTTTTTGCATCTCTGGGATATATGAGGAGAGAGTTTACTACCATCAGCTGTATCTCTAGACTTTAAACATTCTTGTGACAATAAGGATGGGAGTGGGTGAGTATGATGAGTATTTACACATTACACTTCTTTGGCTTTTTTAATTAATAAAACACAGTAGCAATCACTGTACTTTTATTGGTGTAAAAGTACTGTGTGGTGCTTGGGAATCAGGTAACGGTTACTCTCAACTTAAAAAACAGAAGACTCATCAGCAGAATTCCACTGTTAGGAGATCTGGTAGCTCACACCAGAGAGAGGGTGGAAGACAGGATGAGGAGTGTTGGGTGTGGAAAAGTGGGTGACGGTACCGAATTCTTGATTCCCTTCCCTGAGATTCAGTCAGAAAGATAACTTGTCAACAGCTGACCCAAAGTACTTGTTTAGACAAGTGTCTGTCTTTTGCTAAACAGGTACTGTCCCAAACTGTCCTTGATTGTCTCACTCTCAATGGCTATTGAGTAAAACACTTTCAACTTATTAATGCCAATGTGTCTACATGAGCCAAGAGATCCTAGGATAACGCAATTATACACTGTCATAACTAAGTAGAATGGATGTCATACAATAAATATCCAGAAAGTTCTAACATGTTTAGGGATTTCAGTTCAAATTCAAGTGTCTTGCAAAATCAAAGGCATTTTATGAATACATAAAATAGCATCACTATAAATGAAAGTGCTTTTGTAAGTGCAATGTCAAATGTGGGAAATAGGAGTAAAAGTTCTATGTAGAAACCATGAAGTCACTGTACTATTAATATTACCTTACTCAGAACTGGCTGAGTCGTTATTATAGTGACAGCTTTGCATGCTGATGAATGTAATTTAAGAAAGCTGAAATGGTTTGAGGTTTGAAGAACACCTAGGAGGAAGGAGAGAGAGAGTAGCAGCAGCGGATGGGGTGGTTGGGGAAAAGCTGTTCTTCATCAGGCTTAGAAAAAGGTAAGTCTCCTCAAAAAGAGTTGCGGAAAATCACACTAAAGGAGAATACTGAGTAAAAACTTAATCCGGGAACTAAAAATTCTAGAAAGCTGAAAGGAAAGGCTAGTTGAGAGCATGGAATAACTATTCCTTGGGGGTTCAAATCTCTGATCCACTCTTCGTAGGCCCAGTTGTGGTGTGGGGGAATAACAGTTACACGTGTATGGGAATAATAACACTCATATCTCTCGATGGAGGTCAGCTAGTATCTGTCAAGTTCCCAAAACACTACCAGGCAGAGAATAAATGCTAGAAAATACTACTATGTATTTTTTCACTACAATGATGACTTTAAAGTTACTCAAGCCCTTTATACTCAACAACTAAATCCTAATAAAGTAACAATGACATTAAAAATTTTAAAAGCAAAGTTTAATCTTATCCTTAAAAAAGAGAAAGCGGAGCCAGGGAGATGAGTGGGGACTTAGATGTAAGGCACCATCCCCCCACCTTTCCACACCCTGTTCCTGCGTGTGGCTGAGCTCATTCTGATCCCCTGTACTGCCTGTGGTCGCAAGCATCAACTGCAGTGACCCTGTAGCACAGAGCTAGGAGCTCACTGAGCACTGCTGGGTCTGACACAAGCTGCCCCTGCTCCCCCCAATGAAGGAAGGAAAGGCTCATCCCAACAAATTAACAAACTTAAAGCCTATTTTTTAAATTAAAATTTGAAGAAAAGATTTTTTTAAAAGTTTTTATGCGCCTGTAATCCTTCCAAAGGATTTTCCTATCAATTAAATATACACATGCAGCCGCACTGCATTTAATTGTTAGCATGCATTCTCCATCCTTTCAAGCTAATGATCTATCTAGATAGGTTTACTATTTCGCTTAAGAGGAGGCAAGCTAATCAATCCTTGTCACCCATCTCAATTTCTCTATTTATACTCTTAAGTCAAGGGCATCAATCAAGATGAACTAATACTGCTAGAACCTTTGCAAACAAAAATAAAACCTGAGAATAAGAGAAGGAACACATGGAGGGTGCGGGATCCCGGAGGAAAAGAAAAAAGAAAAAACAGGTTCCAAAAAGAGCCGAGAGCACCGGCAAGTTCCAGATGGAGTAGGCGCCGCATCCCGCCTCCCCCAGATGGAACCCTGGTGACCAGAAGCCTCTACAAACACAGCTCGAGTATGCGGGAACGAGGACTTTTTCTCAAATCTGCCGGACTACACCTCCCAGGTAACCTCTGATCCCGGAAGTCACGCCCACAGCCCGCCCCCCAGCGCCATCTTTGAAACGTTCAGAATAAGAGAAGGAACACATGGAGGGTGCGGGATCCCGGAGGAAAAGAAAAAAGAAAAAACAGGTTCCAAAAAGAGCCGAGAGCACCGGCAAGTTCCAGATGGAGTAGGCGCCGCATCCCGCCTCCCCCAGATGGAACCCTGGTGACCAGAAGCCTCTACAAACACAGCTCGAGTATGCGGGAACGAGGACTTTTTCTCAAAACCGCACGGCCGCTTACGCGGCCGCGCGACATCTCTCTATATACAAAGTGATCAATGAGAAGTAAACCACCCAATCTTTCTCCCTGAAAATCAGAGTTAAGTTTGGAGCATGGCCACAGCCCCAGAAATACAAGGACTTAATGCAGAAACCAGCAGCTTAGAGCGGAAAAGTGAACAGACGATGAGTTAACCCAGGCCATCATTTCTGCCCAGAGGGGAAAGGGTGTTGCCCCATTCGCCCTCTCTTCTCTGGAAAGAAGGATGGCGGCCGCATGGGAGCCTTGTGGACAGCAGGTATGAGCCGGGGGTGTGGGGGCGACTAAAACCTCATGGGAAGGGGGGCGTTCCGGTCCGTCCCTCACGCCCTACCGAGGTCACCAGTTGCCCCCCACGAGCGGCTCTCCAGCACGGCCACAGCCCCAGAAGCACAAGGGCTTAATGCAGAACCCAGCAGCTTGGAGCAGAAAAGTGAACGGACTATGCATTGATCCAGCCCATCAAGTCTGCCGGAGGGGAAAGGGTGTTGCCCCATTCGCCCTCTCCTCTCTGGAAAGAAAGATGGCGGCCACATGGGAGCCTTGTGGACAGCAGGTATGAGCCGGGAGTGTGGGGGCGACTAAAACCTCATGGGAAGGGGGGCGTTCCGGTCCGTCCTTTCACGCCCTACCGAGGTCACCAGTTGCCCCCCACGAGCGGCTCTCCAGCACGGCCACAGCCCCAGAAGCACAAGGGCTTAATGCAGAACCCAGCAGCTTGGAGCAGAAAAGTGAACGGACTATGCATTGATCCAGGCCATCAAGTCTGCCGGAGGGGAAAGGGTGTTGCCCCATTCGCCCTCTCCTCTTTGGAAAGAAAGATGGCGGCCACATGGGAGCCTTGTGGACAGCAGGTAGGAGCCGGGAGTGTGGGGGTGACTAAAACCTCATGGGAAGGGGGGCGTTTCGGTCCGCCCTTCACGCCCTACCGAGACCACCAGTTGCCCCCACGAGCGGCTCTCCAGCACGGCCACAGCCCCAGAAGCACAATGACCTAATGCAGAACCCAGCAGCTTGGAGCAGAAAAGTGAAAGGACTATGCGTTAATCCAGGCAATCATTTCTGCCCAGAGGGGAAAGGGTGTTGCTCCCTTCCGCCCTCCTCCCTCTGGAAAGAAAGATGGCGGCCACATGGGAGCCTTGTGGACAGCAGGTATGAGCCGG